CCCAGATTGGCTGAATAGGAATTTATGGGTCAAATAGATCTGGAATTTTAATTATGTTTCTAAGTACCCATTTGTCCTCAGAGAGTTTATTCTGCTTTACATCACCATGTTCACTGAATTAAAGTAGTTTCCCTAAAGTTTGTCAATAAATATTTTAATATTCATATGTTATTAACAATTTCAATTATTTAACTTGTTTTAACTAATTACTAATGCATTGGGAATTTTTCCAGTTTTCTAATGGCTGCTTTTTTCAATGAACTGACTGGTTGCAATTCAGCCGTTTTTCCATACTCAGAATAAGAGTTTTATCTATATAAATTATTTTATCCCTTTAACAATCATGTATATTACAACTATTTCTTATGTTTCTTTTACTTTTATTGATAGTGTTTTTAAGCCCATCAGTTGAAGTTTTACATCTGAAGCTCTTTCAACATCTCCTTAGTGCTTTGTGTCTTACAGATCATTCTTAGACTACTGTTCCCATTCACATTCTGATAGATTTTCACTTATTATTTTAATTGCTATCCTGTTTTTACAAATGTTTTTGATAATGTGATTGGTATTTTCACTGAGTAGAAGTACAGTCCTCTCTGAGGACAGAGACTGGATTGAAATTGTAATGGACGAGCTAGTAATGGGACAACCTCATAAAGAATACAGTTTGAAGAAATTGATCATTTTATATATGGAACAACTGTCTCAAGACTAGATGAGGTGGTAATGAACCAACTCAAATACTGACTGAAGACAATTCATTGTCATCAGGGTAGGAAGAGTTTTTCTTATTCACCTTTGCAACTAAAAGTACTCTCACTACAAATGGCAAAAACAGAGTGATGAGGAGCAGAATTTTCCAACCGTGAAATGTTCTTCCAGGCATTAGGAACCTTCTAATTTTCTTCTTCCTGGTCTTTCCTGCTTTCATTCTTCTACAGCCACTTACTCTTCTTATACCAAGTGTGCTATCACCTCAGCACCCTCTGCCTGAAATGTCTTCTCGCAGATAGCAACTTAGTTTAGTTCATGCCTTAACCTTCTTCTTCTTGCGCAAACATCACTTCTTATTTAGGCTTATCCCAGCCACCTTCTTTAAAGGAACGACCTCATTTACCCCAGTCCTTTTGATAGCCTGTCCTCTCCACTGCTCACTTTCCTAATTCATCCTGTATGGTTTAAAGATGATCTCACATTATAAAATCCATGTATTTATTGCTTACTATGTATGTTTCTTCTAATTGGAAGCCAAACTCCATGAAGTCAGGACCTTCATTTTCTCTTTGGTGTGTAACAAGTGGTAGCTCTCCCACAAATAGTCACACACTAAATACATGTTCTATTTTAAGGTTTTTATTCTATAGGAAGGAAATCATGATCAACTTCAGTGGTTAATAGCCCTAAGTGATGTTTTTAATGTTTCAAATTATTTGATTTTAGTTAATGAAATAAAGAAGATAGGGACCTTTGAGGATAAATATCAAATATCAAATATTAATTTTGAGCCCTGTCATAATTTTCCTTTAAATATTATCTCTTTCAAATTTGTGAAATGAACAAAGGATTTAAAGGAGCATTTTGTTTTACAGAGCCATGTACTGTTAATGTGGATTACATGAGCAGAAATAACATAGAGATGAAATGGAATATGAAAGAAAGATCTTACATGGAGATCTAATAGATTTTGTATGTAAACAAGGATATGACTTAGCTCCATCAACTTCACTGGGGTTTGGGGTTTAGTTTAGAGATGACAACAGTTGTCTGATATATTTTGGTGCTCCTTCGTTTGGTGAGTATATGTTAATGAGTATTATTTCTTCTTGAAGTATTGTCCCCTTGATCATAATGTAGTGACCATTGGGGTCTCTTTATTTTTTTTGAGTTTGAAATCTGTTTTATCTGATATAAGTATAGCTGTTCCTGCTTTCTTTTTTGGTCCATTTGCTTGTAGGATTGTTTTCCAACCTTTTACTTTGAGTCTATTTTTATCTTTTGTAGCTAAATGTGTTTCCTGGAGACAGCCAAAGGTTGGGTTTTGTTTCTTAATCCAGGCTGCAACTCTGTGTCTTTTTATTGAAGAGTTTAGTCCATTTACATTTAGAGTTAATATTGATATGTTAGCATCTGTATTGCCATTGTGTTTGTCTTTCCTTTGATTTTAATTATTTATTCTTTTAATAACTTTTTTTAATTATTTTTTATTTTTTGGGGGGCCTTCTTTCATTGTTATTCGTCCCTCTGAGGTTTTGGCTTTAGGATTCCTTGTAGTATTTTTTGGAGTCGGGGTTTAGTCGTAATGAAATTCCAAAGTTTCTGTTTGTCTGGGAAGGTCCTTATTCTTTCTTCATAGAGGAAGGAGAGCTTTGCGGGATAGAGTATTCTGGGTTGGCATCTGTTTTCTTGGAGTCTGTTGACTATGTCCCTCCACTCTCTCCTTGCCCATAGTGTTTCTTTAGAGAAGTCTGATGTCAGCCTGATTGGTTTTCCTTTGAATGTTATCTGTTTCTTCCCTCTTGTCAGCTTCATTATTTTTCCCTTGTCCTGGATTCTTGGGAGCTTCACTATTACGTGTCTTGCTGTATTTTTCCTTTCATCGTGGAAGTTTGGTGTTCTTCTTGCTTCTTGTATATCAATTTTCAGCTCCTTCTTCACATTTGGGAAGTTCTCTTCAATTATCTCTTTGAATATTTCTCTGTTCCTACATCTTTCTCCTCTCCTTTTGGTATTCCTATAACTCTTATTTTTCCTTTCCTCATGGAGTCAGATAGTTCCTGAAGTCTTTCTTCATTCTTTTTCCTTCGTACTTCTCTTTCCTTTTCTGTTTTGGTTCTTTTTATTTCTGTGTCTTCAAGAGTACTTATTCGTTCTTCCATTTCATCTATTCTGCTTTCATTGCTTTTCCCAGAGTTCTTTAGTTCCTCCATTAATTCTTTGACCTCCTGTGTTTCTTTTGCGTCCCTCTTTAGGGACTCAATTTCATTCTTCTGACCGTTGTTTTCTCTCTTTAGGGCCTCAATTTCCTTCTTCTGATCATTGTTTTCCTTTATGAGTTCTGTCATTTTTTTAATCATGGCAATTTTAAATACTCTTTCTGGAAGGCTCAGAAGTTCTTCCAAGTTACTGTCGTTGCAATCTGGGGGGTGGTTTTCTTTTTGTGGTGTGCTTTTTTCCTGAGGAGTTGTTAGGTTGCGTGTGGTTCTTCTACTCCCTACTGTCTGTTTTCTAATTTGTCGTATGCATTGGGACACTGTGTTGCTGGGACTGACCGGCATCTTGGGTGAGCTTCTCTGCTCCCCTCTGGCTCTTCCAGGGGCCATCTGTCTGTTTCAAGCAGACTTCACTGAAGAAAGGTCCCTGTTCTAAAATGCCGATGTGGGAACCCACTCCCCTGTGCGCTTGGTCTGCCCTGGCGGTGGGTTCCCGCTCTCCCTCTGGGTTTGGACTGCAGGACAGAAGGGGCCTGGCGTGGGCGAGCTTCCCCGCTCACCTCTGGCTCCTGAGGGAGCCTTCTGCAGGCAGTCTTTACTGAAGAAATGTCCCTGTTCTAAAATGGCGATGCGGGGCTCACTCCCTGCGCGTCTGGTCTCAGGCTAGAAGATACTACCCTTTATACTTATAAAATGTAGAGAACTTTAAAAAATGAACTGTAATATTAGCTGAAGGTTAGTGAGCAAATATTTCATGAGGTAGTAATCTGTCCAGATGTTCAAATATTGCCCAAGAAATACAGTTTAAAAGTGCTAATTATTTAGGTTAAATAATTGTTGGGATCACGCAGATTATAAAATCTGAAATCAGTGAATACTGCAAGCATTGAAAAATGGCATTATCATTATTACCAAGATAAGTGGGTGACTTCAAAGTACCACATTGCCACTTTTCAGCTTGAAGCAGCAGTTATGCTTTTAATCGCTATCACAGTTCATTCATAAGCAGTGTAATGACACTACCTAGGTACAGGGATACCTGTTAGGATTGGTCGTTGTTACTAGAATAGCATTTTTTTTTTCTATCTAGAAATTATTCAGTACATCTAACTCAAGATCTTATTTTTTCAGTATGATGACTTTCTTCAAATCTCCAAGTTATAATTATTTACTACCGGGTTATGAGGTAACCTCTGTAAACGAAGTCACAATTTTTGGATTTAAATTTAAATTTGAGTCCCTGGATTAAATATTCACTCATCAAATGTTAAGCGTGCATGTTTTAGGGCTGTGCTTGAATACGTAGTTATTAATTAATTTTTTTGTAGTAGTTATCTACAGTGGATCCCATGAAATTGAAATCTGATTGAAATTAAATAGTAATAGGAAAGTATTGATCCTTTTCACTCAACCACTCAATGCATTAATGAGTGATACAGAGCAGCTGCTGTATCCCAGGAGAAGGGTAATGCAGGATACAGATATGAATCAAATTCACTCAGTATTTAAAGGAAATCCCAAAGGAAGGAACTCCTTAGTTTAGTAGAAGAGAGAAAGTACTAGCAGTAGCCAACTCAAAGACCTAGGGGAACAAGCACAAGTCTGGGATGTTGAGTGTGTCAGGGCCTGTGATATTCCTGGTGGCCTGATGATGGCACGCTCTGTTTAACCCGGACAGCTGCTGCTTTGCTCAGCGTGGATGATTGTCCTGTGAGATTGAGTCCAGTATTGCTGCATATTCTGCTTTGTTTCTTGTGAAATCTGACTTTTATACGTGGAGGAGAAACGAAATAATTTTGTGAAAAACGCAGTTCATAAGCTGCCAGTCTGGAAAGTGCCTGCACAAAGCAGAGCGGTGGCACAGCTGAGGCAGCTGAACTTTTTGGGGGTGTGTGGAGGAGGGAAGGGAGGGAGTGGAAAGCTTCCTAGAAATAGTAAGTCTGGGGTCTACCCGACCGGAGAAGACATTTCAAGTCGAAGGCACAACGCAGGCAACATCAGCTATTAAGCACAAACCGCACACTGCGTATTAAACCCAACTTTCGGGATAAGAGGAGAGGTGGGACTTGCCCTCAGGACTGTGGGGAGGGGGAGCAGCCGACCCTCCTCCCGGGTCTCGCAAGGAGCCGCGCCGGCGCCCGAGGGGCTGCGGGGTGCCGAGCGGGGGAGCGGCCGTGGCGACGCGGCGAGCGGGCCGCAGCCGCTGGGAGGTGAGCCCGGGGTAGGCGCGGCGGCCCCGGGGGAGGCGGCGTCCCCGCCGGTCCTGTCCCTCAGCCATTTCTGCCGGTCGCCCTTTCTCTGCTTCGGGGACGTGCGCCCGGGCGCCTCGCGGACGCTGGGGCTGGCCCTGGCCAACCCGAACGAGGAGGTGGCTGAGGTGAAGATCCGGCGCTTCCCGGCCCCCGACCGCGGCTTCAGTGTCTCGCGCCGCTTTTTCGTGCTGCAGGTGAGTCCCGGGCGCCGGCGGGAGCCGGGCTAGGGGCGGTGGGCGGGGCGCGGGCGGGGCGCGGGCGGGGCGCCGGCGCCGCCCTTGGGAGGTCGCTCCCTGGTCTCTGCTGAGGGGCGAGCGCGGCTGGGCGGGGAGCCTCAGGTCACCAGCCCCTGGAGAATAAGTGACTGTGCCGCCGCGCTGACTCCGTCGGTCCTTGTCGCCTGTGTCACGAAGGGCCAGGGTAGGCGACCGCCGGCGTTTGGTGGCGCAGCAAGTCGCGCGCACCTGCAGGACAGAAGCGTTTTCAAGACCCCTGTTCAGTGGGGAAGCGTTTCACAGCCTTCGGGTGCTGCGACGGGCTCTTGCAGTTTTAAAGTAAAAGCATTAAAAAGGTAACGCCTAGTTTTCAGATGGTCAGGAGTACTTTGGTTGGAGCAACTGTTTTTTTTTTAAATTGCTTCCTGTCAAGTCATCGTAATATATGCACTTTCGTGTTCACAAGCATCAGGGAAACGACTCCCTCTGAAGCGCTTCAGGGTGATTCTGCTGAAAGATTTTGGGTTCTTTGCTTTTGCTAATGTTCGCAGCAGAAACCAAGAACCTTCTTCCTAGTGTTCAGCCTGCATGTATGGGGTCAATGCACACATTAGCATGAGTGTTTTAATCCTTTGTTTTCTTTTCTGTCAGTCTCAATTGCGAACCTAATTTTATGCATGTGGTTTCAGTAACTTCCCCTGCAGTTTTTTCTGCAGTGCATTGACCAGAGTAGCATTCCCACCCTTGTCACCAAAAAGCAGAGAACATGGGTTCTTGTTATGACTACTGTGGGTTTTCCACCGCGTAAAACCTCTGCACGTATGAAGATAGACCATGAGTTGAGGGCGTGTGAGCAGTTAGCTGAGTAACTGCTTCACAAGGTAGGGGGAAGCAGCTCTGGTTTGAGATCCATGAACTGGTGTGTAACCAATCTGCACAGCCACATTTCAGAACCTGCCTCACCCCTATAGTCTATGACTTGTTAGTTTTTAGAGAAAGAGATGTTTGTTTTCTATCTACCTAACACTTACTTCCTTGATAGTTGGAACTAATGGGCGTGTGTGTGTGTGTGTGTGTGTGTGTGTGTATTTATTCAAATGTACTTTTTTTATAGGAGTGCAGGTTCCCTTTCCAATTAGTGTTTTTGTGTCCTTGGGTAAATTCCAAGAAGTGAAATTGCGGGATCATATGGTAGATTCATTTTTAGTGTTTTGAGGAACCTCCACACAGCTTTCCATAGTCCCTGGACCAGTTTACATTCCCACCTGTGGTGTAAGAGGGTTCCTCCTTCTCCACATCCTCATGAGCATTTGTTTACAGTTTTTTAAATATGGGCCATTCTCACTGGTCAAGGTGGTATCTTATTGTGGTTTTGATTTGCATTTCCCTGATGACAGGTAACATTGAACATTTTTTCATATGCCTGCTCCCCATTTGTGTTTCTTCTTTGGAGCAGCATCTTTTTATCTCTTCTGCCCATTTTTTCATTGGGTTGTTTTCTTTGTTTTTGTTGAGTTGTGTAAGCTCTTTGTAGATCTTTGATATCCCTTGTAAAGTGTGTAGATATTTTCTCCATTCAGTCTTTGTTTTGGTTACTGTATCAGAAGTTTTTTAGTTTGAGCTAGTCCCTGTTTATCTTCTCCTTCATTTTCCTTGCTTCTGGAAAAGCAACCTCACAGATATTTCTGAGGTTTATATCGTGGAGTGTTTTGCCTGTGTCCCTTTCTATATATTTCACGATTTCAGGTTTTACATTCTCTTTCCATTTTGTGTTGATTTTTGTGTATGCTGTGAGAATGTAGTTTAGTTTCATTTCCAACATCATTTATTGAAGAGGCTTTCCTTGTTCCAGTGTATCTTCTTTCTTCCTTTGATATAGATGAGTTGACCACAATTGTGGTTTTACTTATGGACTTTCATTGGTCTGTGTGTCTGTTTTGGTTCCAGTACCATGCTGTTTTTATTATTATGACTTTGTCATAAAGTTTGAAATCTGGGCATGTAATACCAACATTCTTCCCTCTGTTATTCAGGAGAGCTATGGCTATTCAGTGTTTGTGTTTGTGATTCCACTTGAATTTCAGCAGTATATAGTCCATTTCTTTAAAGAATAACATTGAAATTTTTATTGGAATTGCATTTAATTTGAAAATTGTTTTTGATATGATGGCCATTTTGTTAATATTAATTCTTCCAATCCATGTGTTGGGAATATCTATTTCTTTGTGTCTCCTATTTCTTTTAACAGTGTTGATATTTCCTTGTTGTAGGTATTTCACTTTCTTTGTTAGGTTTATTCCCTGGTATTTAATTTGGGGGGAGTACATTTACAAATATGATGTTTTTCTTAATTTCTTACTCCTTCTGATTTATGTGCATTCATTTTGCAATCTGCTACTTTACTGAAATTTTCTAGTTCAGTAAATTTTTCTCCATATTTTTTAGGGTTCTCTCTCTATTATTGTATCATCTACAAATAACGATAGTTTTACTTCTCCTTTTCCAGCTTGGATTCCTTTTATGTCTTTCTCTTGCTTAATTATTTTAGGTAGAACTTCAATATTACATTGAAAAGCAGTGATGAAAGTGAACATCCTTGTCTTGTTCCAGATCCTGATGGGAAGTCTACTCAGTTTTTCACCATTAAGAATATTAGGTCTCTGGTGAATCCTTTCACCCTCCCGCGCATCTGGCCTGTGCCCTGGTTCTTGTCTAAATAAATAAATTGATCTTTAAAAAAAAGAATGCTATTAGCTGTGGGTTTGTCATATATGGCTTTTATTATGTTAAGATCTTTTCCTTTTATTCCAAGTTTTTCAAGGGCCTTCATCATAAATTATGTTTATAAAATGCTTTCTCAGCATCTATTGATATGATCATGTGATTTTTCTTTTTCTTTTTGTTGATGTGGTGACTTATGTTAATTGATATTTAAATGTTGAACCATTCTTGTGTTCCTAGAATAAACCCCACTTGGTCATGGTGTATAAAACTTTTGATGAGTTGTTGGATTTGTTTTGTTAAGTTTTTTTTTTTGTTGTTTGCTAAGTTTTTTTTTTTTTAAGATTTATTCATTCATTTATATAAGCATTGGGTACAGTCAGAAGTGCCTGAGGGTGAGAGAATTTACCAGAGCCCAAGAGGGGAGCAGAACAGGCAGAAGGACCGAAGTGCACTGCTGAGAGGAGCAGTGGACTTGGCAGGAGAGGTCTGCGCTGCCAGTGGGACCCTCTCCAGCAGCCAGGGATCAAATGCGCTGCAGAGGCTGCGGCCAGCTGTTTTGCTAAGATTTTATGGAGAATTTCAGCATCTGTGTTCATAAGGGAGATTGGTTTGTAATTTTCTTCTTGAATGTTATCTTTAGTTTTGGTACCAGTGTAATATTGGTTTCATAAAATGTATTTGGTAGTATTCCTTCTTTCTTGATTCTTTGAAAGAATATTTGTAGGATGGGCATTAGTTCATCTTTGAATGTTTGGTAGAACTCACTTGTGAAACCATCTGATCCTGGGCCTTTGTTTTTTTGGAGGGTTTGATTGCTGTTTCAATTTTGCTGCTTCTAATCGATTTAGCTCTTCTAGTTCTTCTTTGTTCAGCTTTGGCTGACTGTATAGTTCTCAGAATTTGTCCTTCTTATCTAGATTGTTGAACTTGTTTGTGTAAAAATATTCATAGTAATCTCTATCTTCTGTGTCTGCTGTGTCTGTTGGAATTTCTCCTCTTTTATTTGTGATCCTATTTGTGTGAGTTTTGTCCTTCTTTGTGAGCCTAGCTAGAAGTTTATGTATTGTATTTTATTTTTTAAAGAAGCAGCTTTTGGTTTCATTGATCATTTGAATTGTCTTTTTTATTTCTACTTCATTTCTGCTTTAAATTATATTATTTTCTTTCTTCTACTTTTTTTTGTCGTTTTTTTTTTTAGTTCTTGGAGGAGGAAGATTAGGTTCTTACTTGTTTCTTGATGTGGGCTGTTAGGCTATATACCTTCCTCTTACTACTGTTTTGCTGTATCCTATGATTCTGGAAATGTATGTCTTCATTTGTCATTCATATTAAGGTATTTTTAAATGTCTTCTTTTATTTCCTAATTCACCCAGTGGTCTTTCAGTAGCCTGTTGTTTAGTCCTCATGTGGTAAGGGAGCTCCTTGCTTTCTTTTCATAGTTCAGTTCCAGATTGATGCCTTTCTGATGAGAGAAGGTACAATTTCAGTCTTCGTGCATTTTTTTATTTTATCTTGTGCCCCAGTAAGTGTTTGATCCTGGAGAATGATTCATATGTACTTGAGAAACTTTGTATTAGGGTTTTTGGGGTGTGAAATGTCCTATAGATGTCTGTTAAGGCCATGTGGTCTAGATCTTTACTTTGGGCTAATATGTTCTTGTTTATTTTTTGTCTAGTTGATCTGTCCATTGGTGAAAGCAGAGAGTTGAAGTCTCTTAACCACATATGTATTTACTCCAATGTCTGTTTTCAGAGATGATGGTAATTTTCTAAAATTTGGATGTTCCCTCACTTGGTGAGTATATATTGATGTGTGTTATGTCTTCCTGGTGTATTGTACCCTTGGCATAGTCCTCATCTGTGTCTCTTGTCACCTTTTTTAGCTTGAAGTCTATTTTATCTGATATAAGTATGGTTGCCCCTGCCTGCGTTTTGGGCTCATTTGCTTGTAGAATTATTTTCCAACACTTTACTTTCAATCTATGTTTATCTTTAAAGTTTAGGTGTGTTTCTGGGAGGCAGCAGACGTTTGGATTCTGTTTTCTAATACCGCATGCTCTTTTATGTCTTTTACTGATGATTTTACTCTGCTAACATTTAGGGTGATTATTGATACCTGGAAGTCAGCCTGTATTGCCATTTTCTTCACCATTTTGTGATTCATTTCAATTACTTGTTCAGTTCTTCTTGTTCGTTCCTCTCTTGCTTTAGGTTTTTAGGCTTCGTATACTATTTCTCAGTGGGGGCTTCGTGGTAGTGAATTTCTGAAGATTTTGTTTGTCTGAAAAGTTCCTTATTTTTAACTCAAATGAAAGGAGAAATTATAGGATTGGATATTCTCTTGGCTAGCATTTTCATCTTAGAATTTTTTAGAATAAGTCATTCCATTTCTCCTCTTGGATTAGTCTTGGATTCTTGGAAGCTTTACTAATATGTGTCTTGCTGTAGATTTCCTTTCATTATGATAATTTGGCACCCTTCTAACTTCCTGTATGCCTATAATCATTCCCTGCTTCAAGTTTGGGAAGTTCTCTACAATTACTTCCTTAAATAGTTTCCCCTCTTCCTTGCCTCTCTCTTCTCCTTTTGGAATTCCTGACTCTTCTATTTTCTTTCCTCATGGAGTCAGATAATTTTCAAAATGTTTCTTTATTCTTTGTGTCTCTCTTTCCTTTTCTTCCTTGTTTCTTTTCAGATCTGTGTCTTCGGGAGTATTGACTCACTCTTCCATGTATTCTATCCTGTTTATTTTCATGGCTTTTTTCTAGAATTTTTTAGCTCTTCCATTGATCTTTTACATCCTGCAGCTCCTTAATTTTCTTATTTAAAGTTTCAGTGTTTTCTTTTGTTCATTGATTATGTTTTCCAAAGTGTTCTTTTCCTTTTCTGTATTTTCTCACATATCTCTGATTTGTTTTTCTGGGTTTTGTTTGTGTTGTTTGAGTTCTTTGACTTTTTCAATTATGACAGTTTTTCCCTTGGCCACTTGTATTTTTCTTTCCTCCCATTGTTTATTTTCATTTTTGCTCTGCTATAGATGGAGCTTCAGTTGGCTGTGGAACTGCTTCTCCCTCTACTTCTGGGTGTTCACAATGGCTTACCGTGAATTATAAAGTGCAAATGGGGCTGTTGGGTAGAACCTCTGTTTACCTTACCTGGCCATGGGTTGTCCAGGTGAGTGTCTGGGATGCTGGTGCCTATCAGTGTCTCTCTGGGCAAGCTGATGGCGGGATGTCCTGGGTGGTCGTGTGTCCTGTGACAACTTTGGTGTACTCTGTCTCAGGACTGGGTTTCACCAGACTGTGTGGGTTTTTGGCAGGGATGTTTTGGGAAGTCACAGGGGCCTTAGTAGGCTGGGGCTGGTGGAGTCCGCAGAAGTTGGCAAGACCTCTGTTGTTCTGGGTAGGGCTTGTTGTCTTGTGCTGGAGATTATGAGGTGTCCGGGCACTCTGGCCCCTCCCCAAGTTGCATCCCAACTCTCACCTGACCAAGCTGGGGCTGGCAGAGTCCCGCGGAAGGTTGCGGTTGTTCTTGTTTTTTTAGACCAGCCAGCTATTTATGATATTATATGGTTTCTCCTTCAAAACAAAATTTGTGTTTTTCACTGGAAAAACAATAGACACAGTTTTCTTGTCATGTTAGGGTTTTGCATTTGACAAATTCTGCCAGGCTGTGTGATGTTGGTGTTAAAGTCTGAACTTTGAAGTCAGACTGCCGGGATTTGAATTTTTAGCTGTTTGATGTTGGCAAAATACATAAAGCTTATTGGGTCTTGATTATTTCATCTGTAAAACGTGCATCTAAATTATGGTACCTGCTTCCTAATGATGTGAAGGTAAATGAGTTAAATAAGATACCTAAAACTATGCTTGGAATGTAAGATGTACTTTGAAAAATTATCAGTAATGATAATGTGGATGATAATGTGGATGATAATGATAATGTGGTCATCTTAACATTTCTTTTTGAAAAAAGTCTTCAAAATACAAGGTCATTATATTTACAGTAGAATTACTGTGCAAATTATTTTTTTGTGCACAAAATGCTGTGCAAATGTTAAAGAAGTAAAATATGCAAGTAACGTTGAGTCAGACAACTAAAATAAATTTATGTGGAGACTATCTGTTCTTGCTTTCATGTACATTGAATATTTTCTTTTTTTTTTTTTTAAGATTTATTTATTTATTTATACAAGCACTGGGTACAGTCAGAAGCATGGGAGGGTGAGAGAATTCACTAGAGCCAGAGCAGGGAGCAGAGCAGGCAGAAGGACCGAAGTACACTGCTGAGGGGAGCAGCGGGCGGCAGGAGAGGTCTGCATGCCATGTGGGACCCTCCTCTGGTGGCCGGGGAGCAGCCGGGGATCAAACCGGCGCTGCAGAGGCTGCGGGCAGTTTCCCAACCCAGCGCTCAATCGCTGTGCCACCAGGGAGGCCCTGAATATTTTCTTTTTTTAATTTTTTTTTTTTATTTATACAAGCACTGGGTACAGTCAGAAGTGCAGGAGGGTGAGAGAAATCACCAGAGACAGAGCAGACAACAGAATAGGCAGACTGATGAAATACACTGCTGAGGGGACCAGCGGGGGGCAGGAGAGGTGTGAGTGCCATGTGGGACCCTTGCTGGCACCTGGGGATGGAACTAGTGCTGCAGAGGCTGCGGGCAGCTTCGCAGCCCAGCGCTCAAAGGTTGTGCCACCAGGGAGGCCCTATTTTTAATTTTTTGAGTAATCTCCATACTGTTTTCCATAATGGCTTACCTAATTTCTTTTTATGAATATTTCAATTACACTGTGTGGTAAATAGGCATCTTGTAGAAGACTTTAATGTTTTTTATATTAATGTATTAAGAAATAAACGAAAGTAATAACTATTTACAACTTATAACTAACAAAGGTATGGTTTAGTTTGGTTTTTACATACTTGTGAGCTAATATTATTTTGAATAAGGATACAAGAATATTTTTATCATTTCGTCTGAAATAGTCTCAGAAAGTCTCAGAAGTTATAAAGAAAACTTTGAGTAAATCAGGAGAGTGATGGATGGAAAAAGCAGGCACTAAATGAATTGAATTTCTGCCCACTAGTATTTTCAGAATAGGACACATATTTTGGTTTACCAAGTTTTAATGTAATAATTGAAAGAAGCACTTCATTGATCTCTCAGATTATAATTGCATATCCATGTTACATTTAATACAAATTCTGGTTTATTAAAGAAAATGAATCAAACAATCCTTGAAACAATAAGTAGAGATTGGATAACTTGAGCAACATTAAGTTCAAAATTGTATTAATAATGAATACCTGTACATATTGTAAGTTTTGACTACACTTTATGCATTTTTTCTATACAAGTGGGATATATCAGTGATCCTTTCTGACAGGTTTTTCGTAAGGAATCTTTTGTCACTGGACGATATCCATTTTTACACACAAATTCAACAGTTTCCCCTGACTGAGAATAAAGTTTGTCAGCATCTATCCATCTCAACCTTATATGATGTTCCTCCATGGCTGTTGTTGATATTATACATGGCTCTAATGGGGAGGAAAAGAATGTAAAACATTTAGTGACAAATATTTTCACAGGACTTTAGACTTTCAAGGGCAATCTACATTGGTCCAAGGATTTTCAAAACTGTTTCCTAACCAAAACATAAGTTGTGCCAGTATTAAATTAATTATTTAAATTATTAATTTAATATATAAATTTCTTAATATTTAAATTAATGATTTAAATGTTAAATGATAAATGATGTAAAAATAAAGCACTGTGTTTAATGTGTGATAATTAAGTGTTATAATCCCAGATTTATAGTATCAATGATCATATTAAGAAGTTTGATTGAAGGAAATTGTTGCTGCTGTTGCTTGAGGGATGTTACAATGTCTGATTTCCTCACACATTATTTTGTAGCCAACCATTCACAGAATAATAGTTTCTTCATCTATGAAAATTTTAGTTTAAAGAGTAAAACATCATACACATTACAGTGATTTTCCAAGTTTTCATCAGGATTTTAAAATACTTACCTAGACATTCTGGTGGTTTTGACCATTCTCCATTGCGGCAAATTACATTCTGGTTTCCATCAAGTTTATAGAAAGACTTGCATCGGTACTCAACTGATGTTTCTGGAGCATATACTGGTAATAGGGGTGAGGTAATATCTCCATTGTTTATAGGTGGAGGCGGGCCACATTTTCCTTTCGAGTCTAAAAAAAATATATGATTTGCTGAAATTGACCTGTTAATCTCAGGTTATTTCAATAAATTCAACAGGTTAAAAATGTATATGAAATCACATAAGACCCTGAATAGGCAAGTAGTCCTTACAAAACGATGAAGAAGAGAGGTCTCATAAGCCCAGATTTCAAACTACAGCATAAAACTACAGTAATAAAAACTATATGGTACTGGAATAAAAGTAGATACAAAGACCAATGGAATAGAATTGAGAACCCAGAAATAAGCCCAAACTTTATTGTCAGTTAATCTGTACATGGAGCCAGGATACACTGGATAAAGGAAACTCTTTAACTAATGGTGTTGGAAAAACTGGACAGTCGCAGGGAGAAAAAGAAAAACATCAGCAAGGGGCTGATGCAAACTCTGCAAAGAACATATGCAACTAAACAAAAAGAAAGCAAGTAACCCAATAAAAAAAAAAATGGACAGAAAAGGTAAATAGACACTTCTCCAAAGAAGACACACAGATGGACAACAGACAGAAGAAAAATAAAACCTTATTATCACTTATTCTTAGAGAAACTCAAATCTAAACCACAATGAGATACCACTTCACCCATATAGAAATGGTCCACATCAAAAAGACCAGAAACAGCAAGTGTTGGCAGGATGTAGAGAAAAAAGAACCAGTGTACATTGTTAGTTGGAATAGAGACTGGCTCAGCTCCTAAGGAAAACAGAATGAAGTTTCTCAAAATATTAAAGATAGGTCTGTCATATGATCTAGCAATTACAAACCTTAGTATCTACGTAAGGAATGCAAAGACACTAATTCAAGGGACATATGCACTCCTAAGTTCATTGTAGCACTATTTACACTCGCCAACTCATGGAACAACCCTAGTGTCAAGGAGAAATGAGTTTCATTCTTTTTTTTTTTTTTTTGGTAAGGATTTATTTATTATTTATTTATACAAGCACTGCGTATAGTCAGAAGCACGGGAGGGTGAGAGAATTCACCAAAGCCAGAGCAGAGAGCAGAACAGGCAGAATGACGAAGTACACTGCTGAGGGGAGCAGCGGGCTGCAGGAGAGGTCTGCACGCCATGTGGGACCCTCCTCCAGTGGCCGGGGAGCAGCCGGGGATTGAACTGGCGCTGCAGAGGCTGCGGGCAGCTTCACAACCCAGTGCTGAACCGCTGCACCACATGGGAGGCCCCAGATGGTTTCATTCTTATGTGGAATACAAAATGAAGGGTCAAAGAAAACCAAACCAAAAATATACTCTAGAAATATTAAACTAAATTACCATATTTATTTCTCAAAAATCACTAAGTGTCTTAATCCTTAAGTTAGGGAATTTTCCATGATTCCAATAGTTTCAGTTTGTTCAAATCTTTCATAAAATAAACCGTGTTGCTTCTTCAGTCAAAAAATAATTGGATTTTAAAGTACCTTCATTTTATTTGTGTTGAAACACTTTATTTAATAAGAACAACTACATATATCTTATTATTATCCTTAGATGTCATATTTGGGATAAATATGTTGATATATTGAATATATCACCAAATACATTATCTAAAATCATGTATAAAATATGATACTCTACATTTGCACTCAGGTGGTTTTGTCCATGTTCCATTTAAACATATCACTTCCATATCCCCAAATATGTCGAAAGGTTTTTTGCATTCATACTGTACTCTCTCACCAGATGAGTACCTAGGCATCTTGTTTGGTATCACAGCATTTTCCACTCTAGGTGGATCTACACAGGAAGCATCTGTAGAGGAAGAGAAAAGCATCTCCAAAGTAATGATTCATGTGAGTAGCAAATCAGTAAATGGGGTCCCAACTATATGTCAAAGGGGAATCAAAATAAATAATCTGTCATGAAAAAATACTAATTTTAATAAATTTGCATGCAAAATTAAAGAAAGAAGGGGGATAAAGGGGGATAAAGCAATTTATTTTTTGGTAATGTTGACTCCCCTGTACCTTACCCTTAAATATAAGATTCATAGACATTTTTGAATCAGTGAAAATGAGAGTTTTACTGGACATGTCCATGGGTTTAGTAAAGTAAATATTATAAATTATAAAAATTCAAGGTGACTTTACAATCCACAAGAAATTCATAAGAAAGAGATTAATTGACATCAATTAATGAATATGGTTTGCAACCATCCTGTTTATGAAGTGTAATTATAGGTCCATCGAAAAGTACACGTGGTAGACACGTCTTCAGAGAATATATCTGGAGCTGTAACACTTTGATGACCATGGTTAAAGAAAGATGATTGATCAAGTGATCCCAATAGATGTGGAGAAAAAAAGGGATGTACATGTGTCATTTGTGAAAACACTTTTTTGGAGTGTTTTTTTGAAAAATTTTAAATTACTTTAATGAGTGACTCGCAATTCATCAGTGAGAGTCAAGGAATATGTTAGCTAGTCGGTTACATAGTATTTATGTTTGATTCTTAAACCAAAGTGTGCACAGAATCCCCTGGGAATTTTTCAAACAGTTTCAGGGTTTAATCCCCAGAGGTTTTGATTCAGCAGGTTGAGTGAGCTTGTGAATTTGCATTTCTAGCAATTTCCAGAAGATGCTGATGCTGCTATTCCAGAGACCAAACTAAGAATTATTGGGCTTTAGGATTAGCCACTGAGTATACAATTTCATCCCATTATGTTAGGCATAAACAATCTTTGATCTGGCCTAAAATATCCTATGTCTATTTCTAATGATGCTAGATGCAATTAAATTACTTAAAACACCTTAACAAATTAATTTTTAAAAATTATTGTAGTACCTCTACATGTTGGCCTTCCTATCCATTTTCTGTTAATACACTGTACAGTATTGGAGCCATCTATTTGGTGATATTCTGGACATTTATAAGCCACTTTTTCTCCTGACCTATATGATTCCTTTCTCTGACCTATGAGTATGGCATCACCAAAGCTGGGTAAATTATAACAATCCGTTTCTGAAAGACAAAAAAGAAAGTAATAGGACCTTGCTTAGTAAATATTTAAAAATACATAATGGTCAATAAGTATATTCAGAATAGTTCTATCAAAGCAATAAATGCTCTACTATACTTTCTTATGCATGGTAACAGGTTTGACTTGGTTTAGTGTAACAGTGTAACAAAGAAATGAAAGCCTAAGAGATATGGATACTTACATGCTTGAGACCATATTTCTTAAATTTTTTTTTTGCCTGTACAGGCCATAATATTATGTATTTCTCTTTCTGTTTTGGTCAAAATCTGTTACCTTTGAGTTAGAGAAATATAAAAGTATATATTTATAAGGTGATAACCAACAGTATGTTGAATAATGACGAGATTGAGTTGCTGTTGTGATATAGGAAAGAAGGTGAGAAATCTCTGAGGATGTATATCAAAGGACATTGAAAGTGCTCACAAGATAATATGAAAATAAATTGAGTTGGTTCATGTCACACTTTAATTACTAGGCCGATTAATTTTATACTAGAACTAGAAAATATCCACAGATACTTTGTTAAATTATATAATTACTACTTAGTTTCACACTTGAACCATTTGATGATATGAATTAGAAAGAAGATGTACTATACTTATGCATTCTGGTAGAGGGGACCATTTTCCTCCTAAACATGTTATAGTTGCAGGTCCATCAATCCCAAAGCCTTCGGTACAATGGTAGGTGACAATTTCTCCATATTGGTAATTGTCTCCCTTTAGATATAGAATACCATGGGAAATCAAACCTGGAGGTTCACAAGGAAGTCCTAAAAAGAAATGAAAGTATGATTACATGTTTTACTAACTCTGGGATTTAATTTAATGTGTGGATACAGGAGCTACCATGACATTACAGCAAAGGCACACAAATGCTTCCTAGAATCACTATCCTGGTTCAGCTGTCAACTTGAGCAAGAACTTGAATTTAAAATGTCAGTATATTATTTAAGAGATTTTCAATATTTCTCTATCCAATCATGTATAATAATAGAAACTAATCATCTTAAGGAAGTAGCATATATTCAAGATATCAGAAAAGACATTTTCAAGAAGAATATAACATTTTTTTTAAAAACTTGATGACATCTCAAACATACAATGCTTATATAATAGGCAGGAACAAGAAATTGTATACTTATGTGATCAAGGAGGTTTAATGTCACAACACATTTTTAACATAAAATTGTTAGAATTTCAAGTGACCTATAATGAGTCATTGAAATGAACAATAATAGGATTGATTTGATTATAGAAAAAATTTTGGGTAAAATTAAAAAATGATATATAAATCTATGTATGATTGTCTAGTTTTGAATGAATTTTACTAAAAATGGAATTTTAATTTGGATATTGTCCTTCCTCACCTACACACTGAGGTAGAGGGCTCCATTTTCCCATGTGGCATGTTATTTCATCTTCTTCAGATTTCTTGAAACCATCATCACAAATGTAACTAAGTTTGGTGCCATGTGGATAAGTCTTGGGTCCTAGTGTAACTTTCCTTTCTTCTGAAGAGTTAGATAATTGAATGGTTCCATGTTCTATATGAGGTAGTTGTGGACATGGCTTTTTTTCTGTATAAAGAACAGAGATCAAGGGTCAATTACAAATATAATGCTTAAATTAAAAAATTCAAACATTACTTTGAACTTTAAAATGGGGATAATTTTAACAAACTAAATTATTTAAACTGAAAAAAGCTGAAAATGGCAAGGATGTATATCTCCATAAAATCTGTGTTACTATCCACTTATATAATATGCTCCTTTGTTCTGGTCCTGTTATTATGAGGAGCAAACTATGCAACTGGAAATTTTATATGGTATATACATAGTTACCCAAAGTTTTTATCTGGATTTATTACACTGAAATAAAAGAATGCTGATTGACACATGAACCTTGATTGCAGTTTAGTCTTTCAATATGAAGTGGAAAGATATAAAGAGACATATAAATACAAAGACCTCCACCTTGTTCACTTAAACAAAATACAGGGGATTGTTAACGTCATCTGAAAAAATCATAAAGCTTGGTAGGCAACAACTGACCAACACATTGTGGTATTGACTGCCATCTTCCATCTTTACACATAATTTCTTCTCCGCCCTGAATTAGATAGTTTTCTTTACAGAGAAGAGATATTCTTTCCCCGTCCTGGTAATTCACTGTGGTTGTCATATCTTCAGCATGGCGAATCTGAGGTGGAGGTGGGCAAAATTGTTTTGGTACTTCTTCTAAAATATGAAAATTATATTTCTTGATTAAAAATGTTAAAAATAATCAAAGAATAATTCAATAAATGAGAATAATAATATGTGATCAACTAATAATGCTATGTACTATGTTTAAATCAGTTCTACTTTTCAGCTTGATAGCATTTCACTAAATCATATTTGGTTTATTTTCTCTGGTTTTCCTCCCAGTTTGTTTTGTTTTTTCCTTTGATTAATTTTGCATAATTTGTGTTAAACCTACTTGAATTATTTCTAACAATTAGGACATTCTAACAGAGCTATTCATTTGGTGACAGGCACTAAATAAAGAATGAAATCAGGATCTTTTTCAGATATCCATAATCAGATATATTGGGATTGGATTAAAACCTTCACAGGATAGTCTACAGATAAAGATGATTAGCCAGAGGAAGAATTACATTTGTTAATGATCAATTAATATGATATATGTTATTGGCAAAAAAAAATAATATGTAGATATTCAGTGGTTAATTCAGTAGTTTAAGGTATGCCATTTAAAATTCAGACTTCTCCTGGAGATACCATTTTCTAGTTTGCCTGAAATTTTGAGGGATTGTATATAAATGAAATGCACCTGGCTTAATGGATTAGCCAGCCTGGTTTTAGTTACATAACCCTCAGTTTATAAAAGAGCCCTTGTAAACTTGTGTCTGAGCGCCCATAAAACTGAGATCTATTTTTGAGTAATATGTGAAAATACCTGTCAACTAAGTAATATAATTTGGAAGTTTTTGCACCTGGTATGAATCCTGTCACACTGTATCTTTATTTGATGAAAGGGAAGTCATGTAAATCCTTTCAGTTGTCCAACCTTGTATATTCGAATGATTCAGGGAACTATTTGACTGACTAAAACACTTCATTCATGCTTTCTAATATTGTCAGATTTTCTATTTCTATCTAAGTCAAAAGCAATATTTAATTTTTGATCAAAAACATTTTTTCTTATTTCTGTTTTAAATATCTTTGCAGTTTTTTCCCAACTTATTCTCAAGGATTAATTTCCTTTTATTTCTGTTATTTAACCACTTTTTCCTGAACATCTTAATTTGCATTCACGCTTGATAGATTTGCTAAAGTTTGGTCTAACTACAGAGTTTCTCTAAAAGCTGCATTATATTCTGCAAATCACCTGTTTATCCTCTTCCTTAGCTTATCATAATAGATGCTTCAGTTATTCTTTCCTTCTTTGTCCTTTAGAAGTATGTTCTCTTCTATTAGATTGCAAGTGCTATGGCTTCATTTTGTTCTTTGCTATTATTTTTGCTCTTTATTATAGAGAGAGTGGTTTGTGGACATTGATCACATTAACTTTGCATGTTGGGAATTCTTTTATCACATGGGAAAGATCAATTGTTTTAAATTAATTGACTATTATAATAAGGTAATATAGACTTCAGTACAAGGAGAACCACAAAAAATAAAGACAATTTTTTTTAATTACAGAAAGGTTAATTCACAATGAAAAAATTATTATAAGTGTGTATGCATCTAAAAATATGTCACAGTACATGAAACAAAGCTGGGCAGAACTAAAAAAAGAAAGAGAAGTATTCACAATTCTAGTAACACTGATAGCTTTTTTACTCTGACTGGTATAACAATTAGACAAAAAAATTTTTTGAAAACATAGATAAATTTGAAAAACACCATGAACCACTTTAACCTGATCTATCAAGTAGAATATTACTATGTTTCTATGTGAAAAGGTACCCACCACAAAGATAGAAATCATGTTGCACAATAAAAAACAAGTTTCAAAATACTAAAATCTTACACAAATGTTCTATGACAACAGGATATGACCAAAAATTAATAGAAATAGATTATACAAGCACAGTAGTGTGTAGTATAAAGAATTAAAAGCAATAATTTTCCAATAGCAGTAAACATACCTGCTATCCAGATGTTCATTTAAAACCACCTCATTTCTGGGTGGCTTACTATATATCTGATTGATGCACAAAATATAATTAGTATTTAGAAACACCATTTTGGGTAGTTTCTAAACTGCCTTCCAGCCTAAAACTTATTTTTTTTAAAAAAGATTTATTTATTTATGCATACAAGAGCTGGAATGCAGTCCAGAAGTGGAGGTTGCGGAGTCGGGGGGAGAGGATTCACTAGAGACAGAGTGGGGAGCAGAACAGATGAATCTACTGAAATACACTGCTGAGGGCAGAAGCAGGCTAGACAGGAGAGGTCTGCTGTGCCATGTGGGTCAGCTCCCTGGCCATGGATTGAACTGGTGCTGCAGGGGCTGCCTGTAGTTTCATAGTGCCAAGACTTAACCGCTTGTGCTACCAGGGAGGCTCCTAATACTTATTTGTAACATTAAAAAAACCTCTCATTTTCCTTTAAGATACTATTTTACAAGTTCAGGAGAAATAGAATAAAAATTTAAGAACTTTATTAACAGGAGCTTACCAGTGCAGGTTATTTTAGGATCCCATTTTCCATTTATGCAGATGGCATATTTTTTTCCTGATTTTCCTTTGCAGTCGTAACTTACGTTGTAATTATGATTAAATTCAGTCATATTTGATAGATTTGGATCATTTGCAAATGGCTTTTCTGGTTTACACTTCTCAAGTGCATCTGTTTCTATAAAATGAAAAAAATTCCAGGAAAGGTTAATTATAAGACCAAAGCAACTACTCCAAAAAATAGCAATCGAACCAATACTATAATGAAATTAGAATATGTCTATAAATTCCACCAACCAGGGTACTCCTGATCATATTGCAAGAGATGAGCTATTCTGTAGGAACATATTTCCTATACCTTGTCTTAGAAATTTTAGAGAAAATATCCATCATTAAGGTATTTGCGTATTGGAGACTGGAAGAGTATATGAGGTTTACTCTTTTGTATAGTTGCCATAGCAAATGGTGATCACATGTTTAAATTTGTTCCCAGTGTGAAATCTCTGCAGATGTTCACATTCATTTGTTTCTTGATTTCAAGCATCTCTATCTTTAATTGAACCTTAAACCATTAATATAAAATAAGTATCTATAAAATCAAATGTATGTATGTATTCTCTATATATATATGGAATCAAACATATAATGTTGCTAGTTTAAGTATATTTTTTCAGGCAAGGTAATGTTATATAGCAAGGAAGTAGATCTGATACATGTAGTATAGGATGTGACTATTTAAGCAGATCTTTTGTCTGATCACCAAACAGAAACAGATACTTAAATCAGTAATTGGGGATTTTAATTCATGAATTGTTTTCTGTGTGTACACTTAAAATATGAAGCTATTGGGAAGTATGAAAGTGCAGGCTAGAGGCAGGTATTAAATAAGCACTGGGAGGAGAAAATTGGAGTAAGACCTATTATAGCTGAAAGGGGATTACCTTAAAGTAAATATGGGTAGATTAACTCTAGGAAAGAAAACTGGAGTCAGAAGAGAATATAGTTGAGGCGAGTGTTTTGGTCTAAATTAGAGTGAAAAGAGGAAAGTTTTCATGACTGATATTACCTTGGGTCTACAAATTTGAATTCATTATAATTTGAGAATATCTCCCTATTTCAATAATGTTGCAAATCGGCATTTCAAAGAGAATATTAAATTGATACATATTAATTTTAGGAGTGTATTCTTACCAATGCACTCAGGAAGTTGGCTCCACCTTCCATTAATGCAAGTGGCTGAGCTGTGACCAATCAGAGTAAATGCTTCTCTGCAACTGACCTGTACTGAATCTCCATGGTGATAGGGAGGGGCAGCATCTTCAACAAGGCCATTAGGAAGGTCAGGTATATCTCCACATGTGCTCTTCTCCTCTGAAAATTTCACAAAAATGTTCATCATTAAAATGTAATTTGTTATATATGAACACATGCAAAATGTGTAGGCTATAGTTAATTTTTTAAATTGAATTACCAATACACTTAGGCAAGTTTGTCCATTCTCCATTAACACATTGAATTTTATTGGAACCCTTCATCTGAAATCTAGGATTGCAAACATATTCCACCACTTCATTGTGTTCATATTCTTCTTTCTGTGCTTCTTTAACTTGTCCATTCAGGAGTTGTGGAGGTTTCCAACATGATTTCACTGTCCCTACTGTAGAAATACTGTATAAGTAGTGGTTAAATTGCGTATTTTACAGTTTAAAAAACCCAGCAAAATAGATTTTTTCTTCAATTTGTTTTCTATTATATAACTTATTGTAACATTCTTAACCAATGAAAAAAGAAATGTTTGCACCAGATTCATGTTTTCCACTTCTATTATTTTTACTGAACTAGCTTGTTGGAAGCGTATTCAAGCCTGTAAAATATTTCCTAAATATTCTAAAGATGTTTACAAACGCATTAATAAATAGTTATGTAAATAATATTCCATGAACATTTTATCAAAACTTTCAAAAAACACCATCGTTCGAGATTAACAGATTAACATAGTTTAAATTTGATTAAGCTGTTCATGTAATTTAATTGACTGTAAGCTGATTTAATAATATTTAAACACAGTGAAATGAGGTATCAGCCATGCTGTATGGAATATCCAATAATAATGTTGGAATTTAGGTAATATAAAAATAACAAAAGTAGTCCCTCTAGTGTCACCCACCTTGTATCTACTACTATAGATACTTTTGCTACATATTTCAGAGCAATTAAAATTCTTAAATAAGGAAATCTGAAATATCTACTACCCAATACATGTCCTCCTTTTTCAGCACTAGGTTATAGACCCAGTGGAAGCCAACAGAAATCAAGAGAAGAAAAAATATTGAAAGCCAAATTCTAATTCTTGTTTCAAAAATTGTAATTAATATTTACCTTTACATGTTGGAAAATTAGGGGACCATCCAAAGTGGTAGCACTGAACTGAATCTGGTCCAACTCTGAAACGGTCCAGTCTGCAGGATAATTTTATCACATCTCCAATTTTATACTTGTTTTCGGAAGGCCGAACAGTTAAATAATCATCTAGTTTGGGAATTTTACATTCTCTTTCTATAAGAAAAGGTGAAGTAATTTACTGAAACTATCACTGCCCAAATAAATCTTATGTATGTCATGAGGTACCAGGTGCTGCATATACAGAGGCGCATCAGATAAATCCTCCCTGTAAATTCATGTGAAATTCTCTATGAAATATTGAAATATTGCACATCAATATATGTGTCCTGTAAATTTATTTGTAAGTTCAATTTGCTTATAATGTGTTGATTTTATAACTGATATTTATAATATTTAGTGTTATATTTTGGTACCCTAAAGAATACAAGTATCTTGTCATATTAAAAAATAATGATAGAGGTTTAAAATTGAACACAAATAAAAATTAGTATTTGTTTCATATTATTGGGGAACTGGAAAACACCAAAACCATTTCCAATATAGTTAGAGAAATATTAAAAATCACTTCATTAAGGGCCTCCCTGGTGGCGCAGCGGTTGAGCGCTGGGTTGTGAAGCTGCCCAAAGCCTCTGCTGCGCCGGTTCCATCCCTGGCTGCTCCCCAGCCACCGGAGGAGGGTCCCACATGGCATGCAGAACTCTCCTGCCATGCCCGCTGCTCCCCTCAGCAGTGTACTTCGGTCCTTCTGCCTGCTCTGCTCCCGCTCTGGCTCTGGTGAATTCTCTCACCCTCCCGCGCTTCTGACTGTACCCAGTGCTTGTATGTATAAATAAATAAATAAATCTTTAAAAAAAAATCACTTCGTTAAGTGAATAATCAAATAGAAATATAAACAGATCATACTGAAATATAAAAAAAAGAAGAAACATTGTGTTCAAGGATGCATTTGTATATCCATAGTGTCCTGAATATTTACATAATAACCATCTATTTTAATATATGATAATTTATACTATATTTTAATAAATTGCTTCTTTTCCTGATTGAGTTAGGAATTGTGAAACTTTCCCTAAAATTTGTAAACTTTGTGCAATTTGTGATATTGCTAAGTGTTTGTCAAAAATCATTTTTATTTGGAATCCTATCTGGAGAATAAATTTATAAAATTATTATAAAAAGAACTGGTATTCAAAATTTAGAATCATGCTAAAAAGAAAATTCATGCTATGTAAGATTCAACTATTGGACATACTTATAATATTAGAAGGTAAGTGTTTTTTAAAATAATGACACAAATAAAACTCAACGCATTTGCTTTAGGTTTGATGTTGAGTTTTGAAAATTAATTGAGATTTTCACACCTTGAATGAGAAGCAGTGGGATTTCTTTCCTAAAATTCTATCCTGTGTTCTGCAAAACAGTGCCTTTATTTGTTGTGTCTTTGTTTATATATTTTGTGCTCATTTTATGTGAATTTTGTATCTTATCACATTGCAAAAAACTTTGCCTTAACAACAGCAACAAAGAGATCTCAGCTGTTGGTGATTTTTCAACTGTTGTATTTATCTAAAGATGTCTTAGGGAATGTGATTTAAAGGAGAAATTGAATGAGCATTGTTTGCCTGAATGGGCAATATTTATCTTTAGTCAGCAGTGAAAATCCCAAATCCTAACACTGATATAGTAAGTCTTACTTAAATATCTTCAATAGCTGCTTGGGAACTGTGACTTTAAGCAAAACAATGTATAACCAAAGCAGGTTTTTGAATGATCTGCTTTTGATTCCTGTCAGCCAGAATTGTGTTGTTCTCATTAACTTTTTAAGGAAGGATATTGAACAAAATGATATATTCAAAGAGCTGCTATACTTGGAAATGTTATATGAATTTTTTTTAATCCAAAGTTTATGTGCATTTAAAGGTTCAATAGACATGGATTGACTTAAGGGGTTTTTGATAACAATTCCTTGGGAAAAGTTCTAAAAACAGGAATCCCGGAGCAATTGCAATAAATTCAAGTATCAGTCTGTGTGCAATATTCTGCTATATGGTTAAGGAAGTTGTTTTTAAAAATTACTAAACTCTTATGTCGCCATTCAACTTCTGGAGTCCCACATTGTGTTGTTGAATCCTACCAATGTGCCACATGATTATAAAAATATAAATAAATATATAATTTTAGACAAACATATTTGTAATAGAAAGCCATAGTGGACACATTAATCACTCCAGCTTCAATATCCTCTCCATGTTTTCCTGGAATTGCAATATTAGCAGTACCATGGAAATTATATGTTCATGATTTTGTATTCTTTCTTTAAAAAGGGCACCTCAAATTTACAAAAGCTTCTGTGTTCATAATGTATGATCTGCCCAGAAAAGAAAATCATGATTATCTTAAAAGCTTCCCTTTTACTTAGAATAAAGCCCAAACTCTACTGAACCATTCCTTGCCTACACTTGCAAAGCCAACTTACCTCCCTCTCCCAAGTCAATCCAGACTCCAGGCTTATGATCTTTGAATTTTTAAAATAGGTGAATTTTTTTTGCTGCTTCAGATGTTGCCTATGTCCCTATTTCTATGCCAAATGCTTTTCAGGCTTTCTTTGTATAGATATCTTCCTATATAAGACAGTGCTCTCAATCCCTTCCCCTTTACCATTCAGTATGTTCTCATGACTCTCATCTTTTTTTGTTTTTCATATTCCTTTCACCACATAATTTCTTCTAGTAATAACCTGAACTTTCTGTTCTTTCGCTTAACCAAACTTCTTGAAAGCTATATACCACATGTTAAATTTTCCTAGTAATGATTTTTCTTCAGAGGGACTGTGTAGATTCTGCTCTTTTTTATTTTTTTTTATTTGCTTTCTCTTCGTCTTCGACACTGTTTCTGTTGTGGCTACTCTAGGTAGTCAGAGCCAACAATTTTTTTAAAAACTGTTTTCTAACATGACATATCAACTGAATTAGAAATATTTACCACTTCAACTATCATAAGATGTAATTAGATTACAATTTCTTGGGTTTTGTAAGGTAGGCATGATGGCAAGAACTTTATAATGGCAATGCAGTGTAATAACCAAAACAATCCTTTGAATTATTAGAGACTTCATGAATATTAAAATATTTTACAGATAGAAGGCATGAATAAACTCCAGATAGTCTTGGTTGTTGCCCTAACTTGTATGCTTAGTTAAGTTCTGAATTGGACTTGGAACCCATCTAGATTGATTCCACAGGCTTTACCATTATTCAATCTATCATGATCATTATCCATCAATCATTTTCTCCTTTCCATATCTGTAACAACATTCTTTCTATCTTTTTTCCGCCTGATTCTCTGGGTTCTCCTTTTTCTAACTATGTTGTCGCCATTTCTCTTTTGTCTCACATCTAAATGTTAGAATGATCTTTGATCGGTCATGAGTTCTCCTCTTTCTTCATTCTGCATTACTTTTCCTATTTGATGTAATTGCTTATATGATGATAACCCCAAATATATATCTCCTGGCTACACCTATATATTCAATTCTGTCGTTTAAGATCCAATTTAAAATGTCTGTGGGTAACTCAACCATAATGTACCCACAGCAAAAGTAGTGATGTTCCTCCCCAAATCTTTTCTCTTCTGCCAGCACCACCTTTCAGAAAGGCATGCCTGTTTAACTACTTGCTTAAAAAAAAAGTTCAAAAAAAAATTGAACATACTTGGGAGTGCTGTGACTCTTACTCTTTCTTTCACTTAATAGTTAGTAACATTTTCTATGTTTTCTAGCACCAAAATATATCCCAAATCTGTCCTTTGTTCTGTATTTCCTCAGCCACTACCCTATGCACTTTTTATCTCTTCTTACCATAAATGGACTCCAGAATCTTCTCTTGCCAAGCACAAGCACAGGGAAAAGTTACGTTCAAAAATACAAATGCCTCTTTTAAACTCCTTTATGATGTTTTACTAATAATAACATTAATACATATACTATCTTCCCTTGCCATTATTCCGTTGTATTCCACCCATTCTTAGCTTAAAAAATCCCTCACATGCTGAGTAGAATTGGCTCACCCTGAAATTTCCCAGATATTGTTTGGTTTTCAAAGCTTTGCTCATACTGTTCCCTTGATTTGGAACACTACATACGCTCAATTTCCACAATTCAAACCCTGTTTCTAATCCCGGAAAAAAGGCAAATGGCAAACAAAGTAGATTTGTGGTATAGTCCACAGAACATGATAAAACCAGAAAATCAAGAGCTTCTCTCAGGACCTGCAGAAACTCAGGAGCAAAACAGCTGAGAAGTTGATAAGAAGCTATAATTTTGCTTGTGAGTGGCCAGTTTAATATAATTTGAAAGCTAGCATTTAGAATGACCTAGACAATTATACTATATTCATAAATCTATCATGTATATGGCCCATAGAAAACATCATTTTAACACACACTGTTAAAGATAATTATTTTGGACATCAAAACAACCTCATTTATCAGTTAATAACAATCAGCAAGTGACACCTTGATGTTAATCATTGTCCCTAAAAAATGACTCTATCAATTTTACTAATTCTGAAAAAAGGAATACACCAAAAATAGCACTTACCATGGCATGTAGGTTTATCAGACCAACCATTGTCACCACATATTATAGAGCCAGTGGTGCCTCCATCTGTGTTCTCATATCCCTTGTCACATTCATATTCCACTTTGTCATTGAGTTTAAACCATCTGCTGTCGTTTTTCGGTCTGGCATGCTCGAATACTGGCATATCACATGATTCTAATGCATGATACAATTGAATATTCCATTTCTAATATTATTTAATGGTCAATCTAATTGAGTCAATCCCATCCCAAAGAAAATGATGTTATCAAAGAGTATGATAATATCAAAGAGTATACTAATTATATAAAAATAAGCTATGTCAATGATAAATCACTGTCCTAAAGCTTACCCACAGTGAAAAAAAACAGTTTCTACATTTAAATTCTCTGAAAAGTTTATGTTAAGCACATTTTTATCAATTATGTTTCTGCCTTTATGCCATGAGAGAACAAAATAGACCATTACAGATATATTGTTCTTATTATTACTAAACAGAATAGCATTTTGTGAATGAAGATGTCAAACTTAGTAACAATTGTGACAACTAGACCAGAGAAAAATAGATTAATTGCAAAAAGATTAATTTTCAGTAATATGAGTAAATTGTTAAACATTCTATAAAGCTGTTTACTGGAAAAATATTAACTTTAAGGCATAAATCTGATTTAATATTCTCAAATATTTTCCTAATGTCTTTGTATTCTTTATTAATTATCAAGATTAAATGTAGAGTTCTATTGTTCATAACTAGATATAAGAAAAATAAAGTATTTAAATATAGTTTCAATGTTCACTAAGTGCTGCCCTACAATAATATTAATAAAATATTTAATATTCCCCAATTTTATAATTTCTATAGACAGCTAGCCTAAAGCTGCTAAGAAATAAAGCAAAATTATACTAATTAGGTAAATAGAGATATTTTCTGTTCCATAAAAAGAGTGTTATAATGGATAATTAATCACAATTTAATATGAGATGAGTTTGAGCTAGGGGCAACTATATCACATATCTCTTTGACTAGAATCATAAAGCATAGAAATTGTCAAAAAATGGAAATGGAAGGAAAACAGGAGAAATGTGTGTCTTAAATATCCACTACAGTAAAGTGACTATATTAAATATCACTTTTAAAATGTCATTGAATGACTTTGGGGTTAATAAAAGTGAGCAAGTTCTTAGAAAAATCTTAAATGTCTAGATAGTGGAAAAGGAGAACCTTGAAGCAGAACGTATTTTGGTGTTGTCTAGAAGTATTTCTCTTTATCCATAACTACGTAACTACATGGAATTTATGAAAATTTTCTAGAGGATTTTTTAAAATGGGCCTACCCTATAATATCAGACTTCTACATTATACAAGTTATTTTATTCAAAGATCATGCATTGTGCACCCATATGTTCACATACAAGTTTACATTTTATGTCTAAAAACAGAGACTGCCATATAAAAGTTGGATTACCTAGAAAAAAGGTACAGTAGGGACAGAAATCTCAGGTAGAATAATTGAGCTTACACCTGTATACACATGAGTGCCCCTAAGGATATTTTAAAGTGCAAAAAACTTGACCTAAAAAAGTGGATTGGCATTATACTCTTCTGTTAATTAATCTTAAATGGCAAAATGTTATGTATTTTTTCAGTTATTTTTATTTATCTTTTCAAATAGAGCCATACAGGCAACCCCACCCCAAATAATTGTTAAACTAAACTTTCTACAGTATCATTTTGGTGATGAGCAATAACAATTAATTACTTACTAATGCATCTAGGTTGAGCTGACCATCCGCTTTTCATACATTTAATTGATCCTGACATTTTACCATCTTCTGTTAAATATCCTGGTTTACACTTATATTGTGTTTCTTTATGTAACGCATATGTAGTATCAGATTCAGAAATAAAACCATACTCAATTTCTAAATCTCGTTTTGAGCATGTTTCTAAAAGGGATAAAGCATATGGAAAAGGTAAGAATATGTTCAAAAAACATTTTCATAATGGTTCAAATAGTATTACAACATAAAAATTAAGGAGTCATTCTTGTTCAAGTCCTTGTGTTTTTAAAAAATAAGGTGAATTACCAAGATACAAAGCCAAGATATGGTATTCATTTCTTTTTGGGGCAAAGTAAATTTCAAATATTCAGAATCACTTCTAAGAAATTATACACAGGAGCACAAAAAGATTATCAGGCATCCAAAGGCAAAGTAATGAACCCAGACATACTCCTCATGTATTATATGAAAGTTGACACAAAATTGATCATGTATGCAAAAGCAAAATATAAACATCTAAAAGAATGGATGAAATTGGTTTAGGCAAAAAGGTTTTAATGTACACCTAGATAATTAATTACCCATGAAAAATGAATTTGTGGTCCTGCCTGTTTGCCTACAGGTTAAGTCTCAGTGCTATCACAGCTGTGGCCTGAGTTTGATCCCCAGCCAGGGAACTATCCCACATATGGAGCAGCTGACTTCTGTCCTGCCCACTGCTCCCCTTAGCAGGGTATTTCAGTAAATACACCCATCCTGCTTCCCACTTTGTCTCTCTGGTGAATCCTCTAATACCCGGCACCTCTGGCCTACACCCCTGTTCTTCTACACAAAAATAAATTTAATAATCTTTAAAAAAAAGAAGAAAAAATGAATTTGTGTTCATACAAAAACCTATATGTGAATATTTTTCAGTGGAAACATTCACAAATGCCCAAAATTGGAAACTACCCAAATGTTTTAAATGAGTGAATGTACTAACCAAGTGTGGTACACAATACAATGGAACAAAACTCAGTAGTAAAAATAATTACGATTGGTATGTAACAACATGAATTACAGATTCAAAAGTAGACTAACCAGGGCCTCCCTAGTGGTGCAGCGGGTTGAGCGCAGTGCTGCGAAGCTGTCCGCAGCCTCCTGAGGGCTGGTTCGATTCCTGGCCGGCCAGGGAGAATCCCACGTGGCGTGGCAGACCTGTCCTATCTGTCCCGCTGCTCCCCTCAGCAGTGCTTTCGGTCCATCTACCTGTTCTGCTCCCCGCTCTGTTTCTGGTGAATCACCCTCCCGCGACTCTGTCCTGTACCCCAGCTCTTGTATAAATAAATAATAAATGTTTAAAAAAAAAAAAAAAACTACACTAACCAGATAACACAGTGTGTGTTAGACCTCCATCATTTGGGATCAAATGTAAAACTATTGTTCTCTTTTGGGGACATCTTATTTCCTTAACACTTCATGTTTTTTCTTTAAGTTTTTAATTAGTGTCCTTGTGTTTGAAGTAGTCATTTCCTCTAGTCTTTACTGACCAACATTGGAAGAGAAATACCTCTGTGAATAATGTTAAGGATTCAAAGACTTTTTCTTGGACCTTGTTTATGGATACACCTGCTCATCATGTATTACTCTCACTAGAAAGGGAATTCTTAAATTGCCTGCCTTTTCTCACTCTTGCAGAGTCAGTCTGGCAGCTGACACTTTCCTGTTTGCTTATCCTGAAACCATGCTGAATGCTGAAGCCTGTGTTTTGTTCCCATTCCTGAGTCAAATTAGCTTTCTCTTACTCACTAGCCATCTGTAAAGACACACATTTTGACATGTGCACAGCGGCCTGCCAATGGTGTGGGTTGGGTGAGGTGTGCAGAGAATTGGGGTGCCTGTGGGTGAGCAGGATCTGTAGTGCAAGTCCCCATGGCTAGTGGACAGGCTTCCTAATAAAGGAAGGTTGCCCGACGTTGGTAGGAGTTCTGTCCCTTTATGAATTCGGAGGCCTGGATGCTCTGTTCCAAGTTTCTCCCACCCCTTTCTGCTACTGCTGATCTCTCTATTGTGGGCTCTTGTGGATGTGGTGAGAAAGAAGGGGGCCTTTTTCTAAATGTCAAGCACAGCCTAGGAAGCTGGACACTCACACATTTTTTTTCTTTTCCCCACTGGAGAAACCATGGACTGAGTGCATCCTCTTGGCTGTGCCTCTTTAGGGGAGGGGTGATACAAGTTAAGTGAAACTGTTACTGTCATCCCCTCCAGTGCAGCCAATCTGGAACCAGTTTGTTCCAACAATGTGCTGAAACTTCTTTGCTTAGAGTTCCAGATTCCCACAAAGATACTCTTCTTTACAGGTAATTGTCAAAAGCAGTGCCTTTTGTGGAGAAGATGGTAGAAACTCCTATACGTCCTTCTTGCTGATATCACTCTCTTTTTACAAGTTTTGTCCGTGGATCTTTTACTGTCTTCTTGACTCTGTCTATCAATAGCACATTAATTTTGCTGTGTACTTATCAAGAGATTGCTGTGTCGACTCATACACACTTGAAAAGAGTAAAACCAAATAGATCCATTGGCAAAACAGAAGTTAATTGAAACTTTTTGCTGCAGTTAAGATACACAAGTCTTGGGAAATCATCAACATACTGGGTTCTTAGACACCTGTACTTACTGACTTTAATGCATCTGGAAGGAGGGGACCAGTCATTCTCTGTACATGTCATTGTATTCTGCTCATCCTCAAGACTGTAGCCAGGAAGGCATTCAACACGTACAGATTCACCCTGTAAATACCATCTTGGTCTCAATGGATTGTTTCCATTTTCCAAATAATTGAAAATACATTTTCCTAAGGATCACAAAAAAGATAAATGAAAATGAAGAGGCCCATATGTTTGATTAAAGTAGAAAACTAAAAATATATTTACAATGCCTAATTGACAATACATTAACATAAAAAACCCACTAATGCTTCTGCCAAATGTTTGTTTAAAAAGATTAAATCAATATATGAAGTTATTTAACATGTTTTTAATGGCTAAAATGAATGTGAATTATGTAGATATTTATATAAAATCCCTAGTTTTATTTCCCATGTAATTTTCATGAATAGCTTCTCTTAAAATCATGGACCCATTTTGTTTTTTTTTGGCTCCTAGCATTCATCTCTTAGCCTTATTTTTGTCAGAGAAGCCTTAAGTGTACTCTCTTTTCTGTCTCCATCTTTTGAAAGATATATAAACACAATTTTAAAGATGTTTACTTACTGAGGCATGGCAGTGCTGGCTCCCATCCTTCTGGTTTGCAAGTAATTGTACCCCAAAATTGTTGTGAAGGGGTCACAAAATTTTCATCACACCTATAGTAATAAGAACGTCCTGTGGATACTGGAAAGTATGGTCTATAATATGCTTCATCATGTAGCTGTCCATGTTTAATTTCTGGAAAATTACAGGGCTTCACTTGCAATATGAAAAAGAAATATAAATCATGTTTTACCCAAATAAAAATTAGAAATTGTTTTCTCTATGAATTTTCTTATTTGCATAATTACACTTATTGCATTGGGACTGTAGGTCAAAAGTGTTCAAAATTGAGGTGATAGTGGAGGCCCTTGGTGGTAATGATAAAATTATGTGTGTATATCTTATGATGTATAAACTTATATAAAATCTCTCCAGGAAGAACTCTGTACAGAACTTTTTAATGTAATCTCCATAAGAGCATATATAGTAGTGTTGTTTGATTAAAGAAGCACCTTGATTGGGAAATGAAGATACTGATTTTATCACTCATTATATTTATTTTCTTAATTAACTTTTAATTGAATTGATATTTGAATACCCCTATCTGGCATTGCCAATGTAGTACACCCACCACCAAATTACTAAAATAGTCCATTGTGCTCCCTTCCCTCTATCTTCACTTCCCCCAAGCCCTCCCCCACCGTTGCTCCCCCCATGAATGTTTCCGTTTTATAGTCAGCTTTCAAGGGTTAGTTTTTAAGGTTGTCTTTACCTGACCCTTGATTTAGTTACTATTATTCCACATATTAGTGACACCATCCCGTATTTATCTTTCTCGTATTGACTTATTCACGAAGCATTATCCCTTCTAGTTCTATCCATATTGTCGCAAATGGCATGAGTTTATCTGTTTTGATCACTGAGTAATATTCCATTGTGTGTACACATATATATATGTATATATATGTATTTATAAACCATATCTTCTTGATTCAGTCATCTTTTTTGGGCACTTAGTTTGTTTCCATAATTTGGCTGTGGTAAATAGTGCTGCAATAAACATGAGTGCATGCTTCCTTTTGAATTAGTGTGTTTGAATTTTTTTCAGTAGATGCCTCAAAGTGGAATTATTTGGCAGTGTAACAGATCCATTTTTAATGTTTTGAGACACTTCCACACTGCTTTCCATAAGAGCTGGACTGGTCTGCATTCCCAGCACCAGTGCAAGAGAGTTCCCTTTTCTACACATTCTCACCAGCACTTGTTTCGGTATTTTCAACGTGGGTCCTACTCACAGGTGCAAGATGGTATCTCACTGTGGTCTTGAATTGCATAGAGAGCCAGCAAGATGCCACAGAATAAAACTAATCAAAACAATCAGTTTAGCAAAGTGGCAGGGTATAAAATCAACACACAAAAATCAGTTGCCCTCCTATATACAAACAATGAGATGGAGAAGTTAAGAAAGTGACCCTATTTACAATCATAACCAAAAAAAAAAAAAATAAATACCTAGGAGTAACCTAACACAAGAGCTAAAAGATTTATACAAAGAAAACTCTTATACATTGTTAAAAGAAATAGAAGACCCAAAGAAATGGAAAAATATTCCCTGCTCATGGATTTGAAGAATCAATAGTGTCAAAATGGTCATCCTACCCAAAGCAATTTACAGATTCAGTGCAATCCCAATGAAAATATTAATAACATTGTTCAAATAACTGGAAGAAACAGTACTGAAATTCATATGGAATTACAAAGACCCTGAATAACAGAAGCAATTCTGACAAAAAAGAAAGAATAGAGTTATCATATTTCCAGACTTCAAGTTATATTATAAAACCATAATAATTAAAACAGTCTAGTACTAAACCAAAAGCAGACACAAAGACCAATGGGATAGAATTGAGAGCCCTGAAATAAACCCCACCCCACTATGGGCAGTTAATCTGTGATGAAGGAGCCTAGAACATGCACTCATTTTATCTTCATTTCCATTCACATTAGAATCAGATCCCTGACTTTTTTCCCCTGGGATCAAGTCAATATAGGGAGATAGTGAGGTCTTTCTTGATCAACATTCATTATTTTTCTATTTATCAAAAACAATTTTAAATACAGAAAAGCGTATTTTCCATTGATCACATCATAGAGAAAAATACTATTATTCATAGTTCAAAGCAGCTATTGCGGGAAGTTTTGCTATAGTTAACCAGAGAAAAGGACATGAAATATTTCTTATTAAACAGATCGTTAAGATTTTCATAGGCATTGACTAAATATTTATAAATTTAATTGGAGATGAGGTATTTTAATGTCATAAATATTTGTAAAGAGGTACAATACCTATCATGTTGAGTATTTGCTATATATTGAATAATTTGTATTGTATATTTGAGTGATGTACTATAAGAACAACTTTACATATATTTTCAGAAATATTTGCCTTTTCATGGTATGATTTATTTATACTTCAGCAATTTTAATATCAGTGTAGTGTTAGCGTTTCTCTGAAAGATGTTATGAGAAACTATACAACGCATTAAAAATGTTTCCACACATATACACAAAGTGCTCCCTATCATCTTCATTCCTTAAATTCACTTTTCTATTTTTTTTGTTTGAATCAAGAAAATTTTCAGATCGTTTCTACATACTTTTCATCTGGATTATAAACTTTGAATCCTTGCATATACTGATGCCTTTCTTTAACAAAGATTTGTTTATGATGCTGTTTTGCATATAGATTTTTGGCCAGTGGTCCATAACTCTCATTCTTGATAATTTTGCTCACTTTTTGAAACTTCAAGTGTTGAGATTAAAATGTTTATTTCTTTTTTTTTTTTAAGATTTATTTTTATTTATTTATACAAGCACTGGGTACAGTCAGAAGCGTGAGAAAATTCACCAGAGCCAGAGCGGGGAGCAGAGCAGGCAGAAGGACCGAAGTACACTGCTGAGGGGAGCAGCGGGCGGCAGGAGAGGTCTGCGCGCCATGTAGGGCCCTCCTCCGGTGGCTGGGGAGCAGCTGGGGATCGAACTGGCGCTGTAGAGGCCGCGGGCATCCTCACAACCCAGCGCTCAAGCGCTGTGCCACCGGGGAGTCCCTAAAATGTTCATTTCTTTTGAGTAACATTCTAATTTTTTTTTGCCTCACTTTTTTGAGATTTAGGTTATTTTCTCTTCATCCTCAATTTTACCAATATTTATCTTGGCCATGTTTAAATATTTGGATTTACAGAAACCGATTCTTAAAGAACTCAATAAAATTTGCATGAAACTGTGAAGGAGGAATTTGAACTCTGGAGGTCTGATTTCAGAACAAGTATGGCTACCCACTTCCAGTGGTGATTCATAGGATATGAATAAAATAAAGTCGACCCCTGAGATTTCTTTTAAAAGGTGCAGGAAGGGGCCATCATTTAAAGTATTATCATTGCAAAATGAATCACTGCTATTTTTCTCTCTTTTGGTACATTCAAATCTTTATCCCTCTAGTGAGATCAGCCCTGAGGCAAATACAGCATTTCATAAGGGGTAGGAATGACACTGAGCTTAGCAAGATTTAAAACAGCCTCATTCTCCCTCTGGGCTTGTGGTCTCATTAGCAGTTATGGGGTCCATCAGTGTTTTAACTCAATTTGATCACGAAATTGATTAAAATATTTACTAGATTTTGAAGCTGTTTCTAGTACTTGTGTAATTGATTCCTCAAATGCAAGCCCAGGATCTTATGGTTACCACTGCTAAATATCATATTGCTAGATTCAGCCTTAAACTCAAGATTCTATTTGAATGATGAATCTTTCCTACTGAAGATTCACTGTCATCACCTCCTGTAACACTTAGTTTGTATGGCATTTCCTCTAAACTCTAAAACTGTTTGGTGACACAAATGAATAATAGAGTTGGTCTGAGAACATCGTCCTGCATCTGAGAACAACATCAGTTTATTTAATTTTTATTCTAAACTATGTGATCAACCATCTGACTTGTCAATTTCCCAACTAAAATGCAAGAACTTCATCAGTTCCTTGTGAAATAATTTGGCTGAGATGGAAATACCACTGGGCTCATCTACCATTTTCATAAATTAACAATAAATCATAAATATTTATTTTATAATTGTTAGCACATTGAAGTCTTATTTCATGCTGATATCAGTTTTCTCTTTGAGGGAACTTATGGTATGAAAACTCCTTTTGGACTTTAACTCTGGAATTAACTTTGAAGTCATTAACCTACTATATGTAGCATCACATTTTCCGTCATGGAATATCCATTTTAATTGTGGTGCATCTTCACAACAAACTGTGAAATATAAAGATAAGTAATATGATTGCAGAGGTGGAAAATATTTGAAAACAGACAAGAGAAGCATACCCCCAAATCAAATATTCTGTCAAATTATATGGATTTTGCTGAAAATGGTAGTTTTAGGAAATTGTACAACCTCTTCAGCACTCATTCTTCAAAAAAATGGAGCTTAATTCCCCTCCTCTGTGTGTCTGGATTAGTGAGTCACTTTTAAAGAACAAATATGCTGGGGCCTCCCTAGTGGCACAGGGGTTAAGTCTTAGCACAATCAATCTAGCATCAGCCACTGTGGCATGAGTTCCATCCCTGGCCAGGGAGCTAACCCACATGGCACAGCAGACCTTTCCTGTCTTGCCAGCTGCTCCCCTCAGCAACGTATTTCAGTAGATCTGCCTGTTCTGCTCCCTACTCTGTCTCTGGTGAGTCCTGTTACTTCCCACACCTCTGGCCTACACCTCAGTTCTTGTTTACATAAATAAATAAAAATTAATCTTTGAAAAAAAGAAAGAACAAATATGACTGAACCACCAATGTGTGTCCAGGCATAGATGGTATGGAGGCTTCCTACTCTCAGATCACTAGGTCTGGAGAGTCAGTTGTCCTTTAAGCAACCTGTGTAGAGTCCAGGTGGGCAAGTACTAATGATTTCTGTCAAGTCATGTAAATGAGCTCTCCTGGAAGCAGGTCCTCCAGAGCAGGCCCTAGGCTGGGCTGACCGCAGCCTAGCTAACATCCTGACTGCAAGACGGAGACTGATTCAGAGCTAGCCTGTTCAGCCACTCCCAAATTCCCGACCTTTAGAAGCTCAGAGATGATAATGGTTTATGTTTTTAAGTCAATATGCTTTGGAAAAAAATTGTTATATAGCAATAAATGACAGGTGTCTAGATTGTAGATGCTACTACTATTACCTAGTGTTTAGCTCAGGTATTAGAATTATATTAGTTCGAGAACTATGTATTTATATACATATATTTAACATTGACTAGCCAAAAAAATAAAAAGATTTACATTTATAAAGTATTTTTGATCCCATATAGAATTGGTTACTTTGAAAATCAAAGAAGCTTCTTGCTATATATACAATATGACAAATATTTTGATTAATTGTATCCACATTTCTGTGCTTAATTGAATTAAGAAGTAAATCAGGCTATGAATGGAACTTACAGCTACACCTTGGAGCAGGTACCCAGCCTGTAACAGTGCATTTTACTTTATTTCCCCGGGTTGCATGATAAAAGCCATCTTTACATTCATATGTGATTTCATCCTCAGTTCTGTATTTGGTCTTTACAGGTTTGTAGACAGCATTTGGAATATAAGGCTTATTACATGTTACTTCTGAAAAGAAAAAAAAACATGTGTGGATAATGTAGGAATGACTACCCATTCAAATAACCAAGTACATGAAAACAAAGAAAGTGGGTATTATTTTTCTTTCCGATCACAGCACAAAATGGGAATAAAATGAGCATAGCATCATCTTCTTTTTTTCTTTTCTTTTACACCATTGTTCTTTTTGAAACAATATTTGTTTCCCACTCCGCCATCATGTGTAGTCCCCCATAGACTTTCCTTCACCAGTCCACCCATGCACCATCAGCACAGTCCCCTGTGCTCCTCCCTCCGTCCCTCTGAACATCATATTCTCAGTGTATCACTCATATGCCCCCATATCTCTCATCTAATGTATTTATGTCCCCTGGACTCTTGATTTCTCCAAAGTCATCACCTATTTCATGATACTCCACTTGGGGCTATGGGTTCAGTGTATATTACTTTAGCATTCTTTCCACTTTAAGCTTCTTGGCTTCTGAAGTTCTCATGTAGATTTTTATAAATATTCTGAATTTTTTCCTTCCAGATTCTTGGTAGGATCGCTTGTCCCTGGCCAATTGAAATAGGCATGCCATAGACCCAGTGAAATTGCTATCTCCAGTCTCCCATCTGTTAGTTATTCTTCAGTTTACTGCTAACTGGCTTCTAATATCTACTCTGTGTTGGCACTGCTCTGACTAAAGACCCCCAGTTTCCAAATCCCCAAATTCCTTGTATTTGATATATTGCAGTGACTGGTGTCTATTATGGGCTTCTTCATTATGTGTTGTACTGGACAGATAAAACCCTCTGTCATCTTCAACAGTGTTGGCCACTAGCTTTTCAAGTTCTCCTGTGCCTTACATTCTTATGTTCTCTTCATTATTACCTTTGTCTGAACAATGCTATTTTATTTATAGCTGCTCCTCCTCCTCTGCTTTTCTTAATTTTTAGACACTGCCTGCTTCTAAGATCTTAGCTCCTACCTTTTTCCTGCTTATTGCCCTACAACCAACACAATAGCCTCTTTTTGGTCTTCACACATGCCATACTTATTCTGAAGTGTGGATTCCTGTTTCCTGAAGCTTGTTTCCTCTAGAATGTCTTATTGCCGTTGATCATCAATTCAGAGACATCTTTTCTGAAGACCCTACAGATACCTTGTGAATGAAAATTTGTGCTTTACAGATGTTTCCACATGAGGATTTGTTTTATTGTTTTTCTTCTCACATTCTCTGTGACTCAAGACATGTCTTTGATTAAAAAGCTGTTGCTCTGCTAATAACTTCTTTAGTGAATCCAAATACACATATCCAGCTTCAGCTTCACACTGGAAAGGTCCATGTATATAATTGAAAGGCATACCAAACTTATTATGTGTAATACTAAATTGTCACTCTTCTTTCAACAGAAAGAGGTTAATGCCAGAGGGCTGTGTTTTTGCTTTCTCTGCTCAGGTACCACAGAATTCACGAAGACAAACAGCAGGACTCTACACACCATCAGCCTAACACTGATCTAATATCTAAAGTTTGAAATTTTTCCTTCTAAAATGAGGTAGACTAATTAGAACACAATATTCCAGGCATAATTTTTGCTGAGCAATGAACACAATTCAGATGAATTTTTTGATTCTGTATAATACCTTTTCCTTATGCAACCTAAAAATGTTAGTTTGGTTTTTTAGTGTCATGATCACCACTGATTCATATCAGACTTGTGGTTAGTGAAATATTTTTCTTCCACTTAATTTCCTTGTCAACTGAGGGTTTCCTCTTCTGGAATTAATATAATCTACTCTTGTGGGCTTTGGAAGAACAATTTAATTATTTGAGAAGTATATATACCTGGGATTAGAAAGCCTGCTATATTGCTAGTTCTGCCATACACTTGGTTTTTGACCATAAACCAACTGAGCTAATAAAAACTTCTTGTCTTTTTTTATGCCCATTGAGAGAGAGAAAGAGAGAGAGAGAGAACATGCATCATACCAATTGATCTCAAAATGGACCTTGCACAAATGCAATTTTAAGATATATTGTGTTTGTAATAGTTGGTTACTATAAACATTAATACTCCATTGTGCAAAAATAAACTGATTAGCTAAAATGATTATATGGATTAAAATCATTGATAAAGTATATAACCAAAGAAATAGAAGAAATATATAGTGCTACCTTCACATGAGGGTGGCGGAATCCATCCAGATCCCCTGCATACAGCATCTCCTTTTTCACTGTATTCAAAACCTCTATTACATTTATATTGAAGTCGTTCATTTTCCTTATAAAATTTCTTCTGAGCAATAGAATATCCATTTGAAATATCTGGTAACTCACAGGTAATTTCTAAATAGATGAGATTAAATTAAAAATGTTTGTTAAATTCTAAAGGGCTTGTCCAACATAGTTAAATATAAGACACAGATTTTTTTTTAATTTTTTATAGAGGCATGTTTTATTTATTTATTTATTTGTTTGTTTGTTTGTTTTGTTTATACATGCACTGGGTACAGTCAGAAGCGCGGGAGGGTGAGAGAATTCACCAGAGCCAGAGCGGGGAGCAGAGCAGGCAGAAGGACTGAAGTACACTGCTGAGGGGAGCAGCGGGTGGCAGGAGAGGTCTGTGCTCCATGTGGGACCCTCCTCCCGTAGCTGGGGAGCAGCCCGGGACGGAACCGGCGCTGCAGAGGCTGCGGGCAGCTTCACAACCCAGCGCTCAACCGCTGCGCCACCGGGGAGGCCCAAGACACAGATTTTGATTCCATTAGACAAGTGAGGCAACCAAGCAAAAGTTCTGTTTTGGTTTCAATGCTTGATGAACAATATATCTGTTATTCTTAACATTTTCTTTGTTAAGAATATCTGTTCATTTTCGAAGAAAAGTTAAAATGTTGATGAAAATTATGTTATTGTTTTTTTCTGGCTTGAGGATAATTTTTCCTCTTAAAATAAATAGTGGTCAGTAACATTCATCAGCTGCATATATAAAATTGAATGTAGATACAAGCTTATTGTGATGAATATATCACTTGAGTATCCTGCAAAAAATTACGTATCTTGCATTTTTTGATGATAGTGTAATTCGTGACAAAACACTTAGTCAAAAATTTAATTTATTACATTTCCATTACATTTCTGGAAAGCAACTGACCAACTTCTGTGGCCTATCCATCCAAGTTTTCTTACAAACATTTTACCCAAGGATCATAGAAACAATGATTAATTACCCATGTCCTACTTTTCCACCTTTCTAATCCGCTTTCCTATTGGTAATGAGTGACACTTTCCTTGTCACTTCATTGCTCCATTTATAATCCTTGATTCCGGATTCAGTCTGAATAAAAGCCAATTTCTCCTGGTGTATGTAGCACCTCAGAACCCCATGCTGGACTGTCGTCAATCTTTTCCAAACGTATCCCCTACTTGTATTTTGTAGGCAGTGCCTGAGAACAATGGAAATAGGGGTGCTTCCCACTCAATGAAACCTCCCTGAATTTGCACCTTCCTTTTATGAGCTTCTCCAATTCACATGCTTTTTCCTCTCAACATCTTCTAAAAAATTCTCATTTTTCCTGTGTAATTCATCTTATGTGTCACTCATTTCCAGAAGCTTTCACTAAACACATAAGTGTAGTTGTATGAAGTATATCCCTTTCACGAATGTCCAGCATACATAATGTTTGATATAATCAATATGAATGTATTTATCATTACTGACTCAAAGACATTATTTTGTTAGAAAGAGTTCTGAAGAGGAATGCTTTCTGCACCTCATTGTAGTAAAGATTAAGTATAAATAATATGGAGATTTTTAGAAAACATTAAAAAATAAATATGGCAGAAATGGCAAAGTATGGTGCATTTAAATAAATTGACCATAATGCTTCATTATAAAAGCCAGTATCATCAGATTTGTCATGATGCACAGGTCAGCAGTATTACAGCTTAAAAAAATCTTGACTTACAGATCAATATGCTATAAAACATCAATAAAAGTCAAAGATTGATGTAATGGATTCAATTCAATTCATGCTAAACTCTTAGTGCAAATGTATAAGTCACTTTCCATCTGTGTTTTTCAAAATCAGAAAGTCATATAACACATCAAAATAGAAATAAATGATACATTTTTCTACTTTCAGATTTAAAAAAAGAGGCCAAAAAATAAAACCTAGAGCAAAAATGCTTAATGTGTTATTTTAGACAAAAGAGCTGAGCACAACTTGATTATTGTTAATAACACGGATATTCGTGTCAGATAACCTAGAATTCAATCCTCTACCATTTATGTAGTCATGATTTTGGACATGTGATTTAACTTATCTGCAACATGTTTTCCTCAATTATAAATTAGAGGTGAAAGCAGAAAGTGAATCATAAAGTCATTTTGAAGGTAAAGTGAGAGTACACATGTAAGGCACTTAGATCAAATGTTGGGAAATTGTATGTGCTTAATAAATGAGCACAATTATTCATATTCTTTAGAATGCATGGTGGTTTGAAATACATGTTTTCATGTTAAAGACTTAAATTCTTCCAACAATCAAAGGAACAGAAAATGTATCTTACCCACACATTTTGGGATTCCACTCCAGGTACCATTTGCAGAGCAATGTATTTCTTTAGGTGCCTCAAGCTTGAAACCTGTATTGCACTCAATCCGAACCACATGTCCAAAGGTATATTCCTGGAGGTCTGATTCTAATGCACCACTGATAATTCTCCCATTCTTTGGTTCTGTCACTGGTAAACACTTAACAACTGAACAAATAAAGAAACATAACTTCTAATAGAATCTGAAAACTCTGTTGTATTAAATATGCACATGTACATATATGTATGACATAACAAGATTGGAGAAAATTACTTAAATTTTTTATTTTTTTAAAGATTTATTTGTTTATGTGTATAAGAACTGGTGTAGAGGCCAGAGGTGTAGGGGGTGAGAGGATTCACCAGAGACAGAGTGGGGAACAGAACAGGCAGGTTGACTGAAATACACTGCTGAGGGGAGCAAAGGGTGAGAAAGCAGAGGTCTGCTGCTCCATGTGGGTCAGCTACTGGCCAGGGATCAAATGCATGCTGCAGTGGCCGCAAATAGGTTCATAGTGCTGGGTTTAACCCGTTGCACCACCAGGGAGGCCGGAATTATTATTACTTTTAAAGATTTATTTATTTATTTGTTTATTTGTTTATACACGAACCGGGGTACAGGCCAGATGTGAGGCAGAGATAGCAGGGAACAGAACAGGCAGACTGACGAAATACAATGCTGAGGAGAGCAGCGAGCGAGACAGGAGAGGTCTGCTGGCCATGTGGGTTTCTCTGAGGCCGGCAGGGGTCGAACCGGCACTGCAGAGGCTGTGGACAGTCTCACAGCGCTGCGCTCAACCATCTGTGCCACCAGGGGAGGCCCCCCAAATTTTTTTTTTTTTTTATAGAGGCATGTTTATTTATTTGTTTATTTGTTTGTTTTGTTTACACATGCACTGGGTACAGCCAGAAGCGCGGGAGGGTGAGAGAATTCACCAGAGCCAGAGCGGGAAGCAGAGCAGGCAGAAGGACCGAAGTACACTGCTGAGGGGAGCAGCGGGCGGCAGGAGGGGTCTGCGCGCCATGTGGGACCCTCCTCCGGTGGCCGGGGAGCAGCCGGGGATCGAACCGGCGCCGCAGAGGCCGCGGGCAGGTTCGCAACCCAGCGCTCAACCGCTGCGCCACCGGGGAGGCCCCCAAATTATTTTTATAGCTTTTTATATAGCTTTTTGTCATAGATAAATGAGTAAAAAATAATTAAGTTCAACTAATTCTTTTTTATGGGAGTGGACAAAAATATTACTACTTTGAATAACAGTTTATATTGTTGTATTATCAATGTTAAATAATTGAGCAATATAAAGCCTGGAATAATTAACTTTCCATTTAAGTCCCAGAATAATGTAATACTGTATTCCTAAAAGATATAAAACAAACTTTCTGATTATATATAATTGAAACAGTCCTTAATCTTCCCTCCTTTTCCATATGAGTGCTCAAGATAATTTGAGTTTTTCTTTTAATTTGATTTAATATTTCCCAGTACCTCCTACATTATGGTAATTCAAAATTTATTTTATAGTGGGATGATGCAGAATGCTTATTAAAATGGAAATTCTGTGGCCATCTCTCTTCCCTGTCACCTCAGATATGTTGATTGAGTAGGTCTTTATAACCAAAAATTACAGTTTTTAGCAAACACAAGTAATTCCAGTGTAGATGGTCCTAAAACATTTATCTCCTCCTCTTGTTTGCATGAATGAAATATCTTTCTTTTCACCTTAGACATCAGACATCAGATTTTTGATAACACATTACTTCTTATGCCCCTTTCCCTACCTGCTTTTCTCCCTGTTTCTCTTCTGCATACACTTCCCCTTCTCCTTCTTCTATTGTCCTTCTCTCTTCTTTTTTCCTCTCTCTCCCTCCTCCTCTCTCTTCCCCTCTATTTACTCCTCACTGGAACTAGGAAAGATTATTCAGATTAACATTTTTATTTTCATGATAACTGGAGACTGGGATTCCATCCTCAGTCTTTGGAAACAGGATTGGCTTTTGCTCATTCTCACTGTTTGCTTTATGGATCAGTAAGAAAGGGCGAAGCACTCTCCTAGTTCCTACCTTTTTTCAAAAAGACTAGGACCACATGAAAGCCTCTCTTTGTAGGCAAGCAAGGATACATATCTAAAACATGTTCTCCATTTCAGATGTTGCCAAAGATCCCCGCATTTGTGAGGTTACTGGCTGAATGCCTCTTCTTAATAATGCTGAAATTCAGATCTTAATGTAAAAAATGATATTTGCGGTATATCTAGTTGTTAGAATTCAGAAGAAATGAAAAAGTAATTTTACATTTCATATCCTTTAATATTTTGAATATTGTATCAGATGATACTGTATTCATATTTGCTTATTCAAACCAAAATAATATAGTAATAAAAATTAAGCTATTTTAATATACTTATAAATCAATTTTACACCTACTTTCACATAGAGGAATATTGTTGGTCCATCCATCTGTCTCACATTCACGGTAATTAATCTCACCTAGCAGCTGATACCTGAAAATAAAAAATAACAGAGTGGTGAGTTAATGAGTGTTTACATACAGCTTTAAATTCAATACCATTCTGAATGCACAAAATCCCCATTTCAGGGAAAACGAACACTGTATGTATTTTCTTTCTCTTGATTTTTCTTTTTTGCTCTTTTTTCTTGCTTTTTAAAAAAGATTGATTTATTTATTTATACAAGCACTGGGTACAGTCAGAAGCACAGGAGGGTAAGAGAATTCACCAGAGCCAGAGCGGGGAACAGAACAGGCAGACTGATGAAATACACTGCTGAGGGGAGCAGTGGGTGCTGCAGAAGAGGTCTGTGTGCCATGTAGGGCCCCTCACCTGTGGCCAGGGATCTAACCAATCTAACCAGCACTGCAGAGGCTGCGGGGAGCTTTGCAGCCCCCTGCTCCACCAGGGGAGGCCCTTTTTTTTTCTTTCTTAGGCTCTTTTTCTCTTAATGACCTTTAAGCCCTTAGGTCCATACACTTGAAATAATCACAATTCTTGATTCAAAAAACAAATTTTATGCACAATATATTTCTGTTTTGTCCCTGAATCAGTTAAATAGCTATACTTAACAATCTAAAAAAACCCATGAAATATCAAAAACAAAAGCTAAAAACATGAGAGTAACAGCTAATCATAAGTTACCTTCCTCCAATACTTTTCTCCCCACATTCCTACCCTCCATGAATGGGAGATCCTGGACTCTTTGGGCTTTGCTTTGCTTCATGTGTGTTTTATTTTCAATTCTTGTCTTCACCTCCTATCTCCATTCCAGTGATTCTTTCTAGAGTGTAGTCAACCAGTCATGTTTGCTTTTGTAACCCATTCAAAATGGAATTTATCTAATTATAGGGGGAGATGGGAAAAGAGACTGTCCATAAACATGTTGGGGGTTGGGAAAAATAATGGCTTATGTCACAGCAACCCAGCCAGGCACAATATCAGAAAAAAATCCTTTTGCAGAATGCCTCCTTAAAACTATCTGCCAGTAGATAATGAAACTAACTATCCATTTTGAATATCCTCAGAAGTGGCTAGTATTCAGTAGAGAGAAGGTAAGGAAGGATGAGGAATCATGAATGCAGGCTGAATGGGTTTAGACAACCAACTTGACTATTATTTTCCACAAATGGGTAATAGATTTATAGTCTCTCAGATAAAACAATCCCTCAATAAACATTTTAAATAGCATAAAATGCTCAGTTTTCTGACCTTATATATTTCAAGAACTTTCATTTCACTGAAAAATATCTAAATCTGTTAAGAGGCCCAAACTGAGTAACAGAGATAGTGACTAGTCTAGAAAACCTACAGCAGTTTACCCATAGTTTGCACAACACAGAGGCAAAGATGATTTGGGGAGAGCCAAATTCAGAGTCAAGTATATTGCTGATTTCTTTACCAAATTATAAATTTTATTTAATAGTGAGATTTAAAGAATCTACTAGAAGTTTGTGAGTTTTGATCCCTTTGTCAAGGGTGGAACTCAAAAGGACCAGAATATCCTGGATTGAAGGAACTTTTCCAGAGGTGAAGAGAAGAACAAATGGGAATGTTTAGGCCTAGGTGTTCTTAATCTGTTTGACCATGTGTTATAAGATCAGCAGTAATGATTGAAGGTTGGGCTAAAAATGTCTTTGAGGGCCCTCCCAGTGGCGCAGCGGTTGAGCGCTGGGTTGCGAAGCTGCCCGCAGCCTCTGCAGCGCCGGTTCAATGGTTCAATTCCCGGCTCAATGGTTCAATTCCCGGACGCTGGGCGAGGGTCCCACAGGGCACGCAGACCTCTCCTGCCGCCCGCTGCTGCCCTCAGCAGTGTACTTCGTCAGTCTGCCTGTTCTGCTCTCTGCTCTGGTTCTGGTGAGTTCTCTCACCCTCCCTTGCTTCTGACTGTACCCAGTGCTTGTATAAATAAATAAATTTAAAAAAAAAGATAAAAAAAAAAGTCTTTGAAAAATTCCCTTACATAGTGATAAAGGAGTGACTAAATTCATAAGAACTAATATCTAATGGGTGTCTACAATATTCCAGAAACTCTTCTAAGGCTTTCTAGTGTGATTCTTATTTTTTTAACCTCACTTGAAATAATAGGGGAGAACAATGATGAGGTAAAACAGTGTTAAGATTAGCCATGAAAACTCAATGGGTGCTAGAGAACGCAGTTAAAGACCATGAAAATAGTATCATTTTTGGTCAATGTGATAAGAATAGTTTTCAGATCATGGAACCTTAAAGACTAGTCATTATTATTTCAGTATATTTGAAAGTTTTGCTTCTCCTAAGTTTTTACAGTCTTTATCAAAATAAGTACTATGCATCTAATTTTGTTACCATCCCCATTGTCCTGACATAGTGAACTCCCATAATGCTCTGTACATGATAGAATGTGGTGAGGACTTGTTGAAGTGAACCCTTATTTGTAATGCATACTATTTTCCCATCTTCTTTAGCCACATTATCAAAATAATTTTAATTCATTTTACTTTTTCAATTTTGAGAAGATATGATATCCAAATACAATCATTTACTTCATAGATTAATTTTTCAGATTACTTGTGTTACTTATAAAAATTCTCAAGATAAATATAGGAATCTGAAAAATATAAATGAGTACCATTGCTATTTTCATCACAAATAAGAAATTATCTCACTTACAGTTCCCCTTTGATTTTGACTACATACCCCTCATTACAGGTATAAACAACTTTTGCACCATATTCAAACTTATTTCCTACTGCAAGTTGGAAAGAACCAAAGGGAGTATCTCCAGGATGTCCACAGGGCCTTTCTAAAATGAAAAATATAAAATGTTAGTGGGTAACACAGAGAAACACATTTCAAGGACCATGATATTTGATATTATATTAGAAGACAGAATTGAAAATTTAAAAAAGGTGAAAATGAAGTTACTATTTTATAAATGAACTTACCTGCAATTTTTTTTTTGAATTTTGGAAGATTGCAGGCTCTTTTTAGGAATAATGATGGTGTATTGTTTTGTATTTCAATCCCCACAGTGATATAATTTGGCTTGTTACATTTATCAGACCCCTCAGTATTTTCAAACCTAAAAGGTCTCACAAATTTTATCAGCGTGAATCACTTACTTCGGCATATTCTAGATGGATAAAGAGGCTCCCAGTTTCCCTTCTTGCAGACCATTGTAATAGTTCCAAGGGTTCTGTATCCAGGGCGGCATTTGTATGTAGCCTGAGTGCCTTCTTTATATGATTGCTCAGGCCATGAGCCTGACAAAATTTTTCTTTCTTTTTTTGGAGGTGGTTCTTCACAATCTAAGAATAATAAAAATAAAACAGGTATTTAAAAGTGGCTACTTAAATACACGGGGCATTTAAGTTAGTTTTGCTTTTGTAAATACCTTTATAGTTACTGACCCATTCAAATCTCTCTCTTTCTTTTGCTCTCTTTCTCATAGAAAAACTTAACCTCACAGAAATTGACTCTACACAAATCTTTAAGAATAACTTTCCAGAGAAATAGTCATAATTTATTATATTATTATTAACTGCTGCACAGCATTTTACTATTCATTCATTAATTTGGAATATATTTATTGGGTGCCGTTCTGAGTACTAAAAGGAAAATGTAACAGAAGAAAATTTCCATTTAGTAAGGAAGTTATCTAATAAATCACCAGTGATGTATAATATGCATTAAGGTATAGCACACTTTTATTTTTCTAAATAGAACTCATTTTATTTAGATAAATTCTTCTTAGAAACTCAATTTAGGGAAAAAGAGCACTATAAGATTAGGCAAAAACTACATGAGGAGATTCCAAAATGGAGACAATGGGATAAAACAGAATTAAACTTCTATTGCAAAGTGAAAAAAAAGACAAATTGTGTGTGTGTGTGTTGAAAAGGATTAGAAATTGTAAATTGTGGCAACAAAGCATATTAAGTAAATTAGACCAAAGTGAGAAGGGTCAGTTTTGGGCAAACATATTGTCTTTCACCACTTTTTACCTGGTTGTGTTTGCCAGGTCTAAGTATAGGTTGAAGATAAATAAGACTTTGCCCAAATAGAGAAAATGTTGATGAGGGAAGAAGGGGCTTTTGGAGATGTGTTTGACATGAAAAATTCAGAAACTTTGCAGAACGAGGGTGATGTCCTGAAGCCTATGATGTTTATTAAAGCTGAAATTTAATTCCCTATAGTCTAATGGGAAAAGTTCCAAAAAAGAAAAGGAGCCTTGTTTCAAATACACAACTGGTGTTTTTTTTTTTTTTTTAAAGATTTATTTATTTATGATTACAAGAACTGGGGTACAGGCCAGAGGGCTGGGCAGTGAGAGGATCCCCCAGAGACAGAGTGGGGAACAGAACAGGCAGATAGCCCGCAGTACACTGCTGAGGGGAGCAGTGGGCGATCCAGGAGAGGTCTGCCGCGCCATGTGTGTAGCTCCCAGACCTGGGATTGAACTTGCGCTGCAGAGGCTGCAGACAGCTTCATAGCACTGCTCTCTACCCCTTGCGCCACTAGGAGGGCCCCCGCACAACTGGTGTTTTATCAAGACATGTCATATTTGAAAGTCACCCAGAGTAAGATTTCAGAGCAGAGATTAATAAAACACCAGAATAGAAAGATAAATCCTTATCATCTTTTGGAATAAAGGACGTAGAGAGAAGACAACCTCTTGATAAATAGCTCAAAAAGTTCTACACCTTGAGACTTTTGAAACCAGAAATGGATTGCCAAACTAAAAGTTCAATCCAGGTTCACTGAATTCAATTCCTGACTGGATCAAGAAATTAGAAACACTTTTGTCAGGGATGCTTAAGTTTATATTATTTACTTATCACCATGCATACTTATTTTTGTATTGATAATCTCCTTTCTTTAGTTGGTTTTATGATAAACTTTTAACATTCTATTCTAGAATTTCATTTAAAAGGCAAGTGTAAAATATAACTGAGTGGAATAACTCCTTAGAGAATATCCATCCATTAAGGCTACATTTCAACTTCCCATAGAACATAAAACTGTACTTGAAACTGCATTTATGTAATAGTATTTGTGCACTAATTTTCTTTTGAAGTTGTTTTGCAAATTTTTAGAACATTTATATTAGGGAATTTTATGATTTCACATTAGTTTTGAATTTTATAAACTATGTAAACACACCATTTGTCCACTAGAGGGGGTGCTAATACCATATCATAAACAACCCAATTTATCTGCCACCCTCCTAAATCCCTCAAGTCAGAGTTTTTGGTTTTGATTTTTTTTCAAGAAAGTAAATAAAAGTTTATTTAAAGGAAGAAAACAAGGAAGCCAAGTTTTTGGTTTTAAATATTAAATTCATGCTCATGCTTTTACATGGAATTTTTCTTTTCCATTACAAACTATCATGTGTTTTTCTTTTTCAAAATTGAAATCCATATTATGGAGTTCAGGTTATTGGAGGGAAAATTAGTTAAATTTCAAATGTAGATGTCAACATTGTGAGAGGAGAACTGATGTTAACATTTCAGTAAACTTAGTTTCGATCTGCTAAACTAATGAAAGAATAATAGTTTTCTTATCAATTAGTCTATTTGATTTAAATTATATTTATTAAAGTAATGCATCTACCAAGAGAGCAATCCACTCAGAAAAAAAGAAAAATTCATCCCATTGTCACCCTTCCTTCATTTTCCCATATTTCAACTGCAGTCTTCAAAATTTGAGTTATGATTTTAGTCATCTGTGACCTTGACTTTGAAACAGCTTCCCAACTAGACTCCAAGCCTCTACTCTTCCATGCAACATGTGTGGTTTTTGCAAATTTGGTTATACCATTGCTGTGATCAAAATTTTTCTGACTTCCATTTGCTTAAAAGACATCCCAAACTCTTCCCATGACCTTGGAACCCCCTGTGGCCATTCTCTCTGTTCTTGTAACCTCTTCCATTTGCTCATAGAGCCAAAGCCAACTGGTTTCCTTGTTTATATTTTGTTGACAATTGAAAATGTATTCTCCCTGCTGCCACTACTGCAGGTCTTTTGCACATACTGTTTTCGCCTTCTTGAACACTTTTACCTCAAACTTTTGATGACTGGCATATCTTTCAGGCTCTATTCAAATGTTATCTCCTCCAAATGATTTACTTACCTCTATTCTCAAAGACCAGCCAGTCTTAGTCTCCATGCTCCACTGCCCCACAACTGTTATTTTCCCTCAGTTCCTACTTTACATTCTTTACAACATAGTTCCTCATTCATGATCATTTTGCATTCACTAGGATTTCATCAAACCTCCATCAAAATGTAGACTCCCTGAAAGTAAGGATCATCTCTGCCCTGTTTTTTAAACTGGGGGATTTTCATTAACATCCAGATCCTCTAACTCAAATATACATTCTGCCTACTTTTGTTCTCATGTTACTAAACATATTGAGTGCAGGTTTGTCTCGTTATCCAGAAGTAGAGCATTCCTATGAAATCTGTCATAAATCAAAATTGCTGAAAGAGAAGAATTGCCGTTAATTTATATGGAAAAAGTTTTGTGTTCCCAGACACAAGGAATAACTTACAGCATCATACCCAAAACACAGGAAATCTAAAATACCACTAACATAGAGTAAAAGCAGGAATGCTGTAGTAGAGTCTGTATAAAGTAGTTTCCAGGGAATACGCTTGGTGGAGCCACTGTAGTTTTTCAGGGTGCTGCCTCTAGAACAGCTGTTGCAAAATAAATGCTGCACATGATTTTCACTTTTTTTTGCCTTTTATCATAAAAATGAGCTCTTGTTTGGATTTCTTTAGGTTAGCAAAAGCAGATACTAAAGTAAGTCATAAAAGCTAACTGTCATAGCTCAAACCTTTAAAAAGCAGGGAAAAACTGATTTATCAATTCATGTGATAACAAAATATTTTAAGTAATGATTTACTATGTTTTGTATTACAATAATTAGGTCTTATGACCTGACTTTTATTTGCCTGAAATGACAAACAACTAACTTTTCAAGTTCAGTTAAACCACATTCTCAATCATTTCTAATTACACAAAATGTGTGTGTTAGTTCAAGTTAGACTGTTGTCAAATATATACAACAAACACATTTGCTTTAATTAAATTGTCATTTGAAGAAATAGGATGGAGGGGGGAATATTAAATATTAATAATAGGCAGCATTAAAATATTTTCAAAAGTACAAAGAGTTTTTTGAGATAGGGTTTATTTTAAAATTGTATTGTTTTTGAACAGACATCTCATTTTCTCAAATTTTAAGTTAATGGGTAAACTAAGCTCTCCTATATCTAAGTACATACCTAGGTTTAAACAATAAGTACTTCATCATATATGTTTATATAAAATTTTAAATGCCAATCAATCTTTTTTTACAAAAACTACTTGGATGAATTTTTTCACTCACTTGATTTGATTTTCTGATTTAAAAATATTCAGTCCATGAATAAGGAGAATGAATAGATTTGGCTTTTAGTAGGAATAGGAATCATTTTGCTTTAATTTTAGGGACATTCTTAAAATTTAAAAGAATAATCTTTGAGAAATTTAACATTGAAAAACAGCATGAAAATAATTCTAGATCTTCTAGTTTTAAATTTATAATGACATTTAGAATAGTTTTAAAGGTGCTTCTAGCTTAAAAATATTTTACAAAAAGAAAATGGGGGGACAAGTGATAGATGTAATATTGGATGGGATAATATGTTTATCATAATTAGTAATGAAACAAGTTACTATTAAGATACAACTTAGATATTCCATTAAAATCAAGTTTCTTGAAATTTGTATTGTTTAAGTAATACCTAACATAACATGGTTCAAGTCAAAATGCTAGCTTCTTAAAATAAATTGTTCATATATAGAAAAACCTTTCTTAAATTTTTACAGATTATTATAAAAAAGGAGCTTTGTCATAAGTGACATTAAAATGAAGACCCTGAAATGATTTAGCATTTAAATAAATATCATTTGAATCTTAAGAATAGGCATTAAAAGAGAAAGGGAAGGAAAATGCATACAACACCCAGTTTTACCTGCAGTACTGGCAGAAATTAAATTGATGGAATAATCAAAACTATGGGAGATGATTTCAGTCCTCCAATTCTATTTTTGTATATTTTTTTATTTTTTAAAAAGATTTATTTTATTTATGTATACAAGAGCTGGTGTACAGGCCAGAGGTGTTGGGCAGGGGGTGAGAGGATTCACCAGAGACAGAGCTGGGAACAGAACAGGCAGATTGACCAAAGTACACTGCTGAGGGGAACAGCAGGCGAGATAGGAGAGGTCTGCTGCGCCATGGTGGGCTGCTCCCTGGCTGGCTGGGTATTGAACTCATGCTGCAGAGGCTGCAGACAGCTTCATAGGTTGCATCTTAACCCCTTGCAACACCAGGGAAGCTCCAGTCCACCAATTCTATAGAACATCCTTCCAGTAAACACTCCAATGTTTCCTCAGTCTTGAATGTCTTCCTGGTCATTCTCACCTGGCTAACTCCTATTGAACCTTCAAAACCTACTCAAGATGCTATATCAATGCTGACATTTTCTCTCTTGAATCCACCTCTCACAAACAAACTCCTCCACTCTTAACCCCCTCCATCCTTTTATCCCATTTGGGGACATGTCTTCTCTAAATGATCCTATAGTCTCTTGTTTATCTGCACCATGATACTTTATATAGGTTAAAATAAATTGATAGAATGTAATCATTCATTCCTTTTGTTTTCCCCTCTAAGTGACCGTTTTTAGAAAGTTTGTCACCATGTCAAATTTAACTGCACTCACAATATGATAATTATGTGAATGAACAATTGAACAAATGCACACATATGAAACTATCTGGGAGCCTTTCCAGTATATCTGCAGATTATGGACAATCTGTGGAAAGGCATAGTAGATGGTAATATATGTAAAAGAATAAGAAAGCATGGGAACACAGATTGAGTGCATTTGAAGATCTGCTGCATGAGCCTAAGAAAGTCTAACATCCCTAATTCTGTTGTATATCTTGTCTGTGTCTTAAGTTTGAATTTATGTTATGCTTTTTGGAGGCAGAATCATTCCCACTTAGGCCCATAAAAACTTGAGGGGACCTTTGAAGGGGCATTTCTATAATCACTTTTCTATCTATTACATTTCTGGCTAACAAGGTTTATGAGAAACTTGGCTCTCTCAGTTAAAAATGTCAAAACAAATAAAAATGCTCTGTCAAATCTTTTTTTCCCCTTTTATTCTTTTCCATTTTTTTTCTGGTATATTGCTTTCTGAGTTATCTTTATAAATTTTCCTGATAATTTTAAATTAAAATGTAATACTTTTTTTCTATTAAATTGTATCCTTTTTATGCACTATGTTCTGAGACTTGCTAAAGTTGTTAAGAGGAAATAGATAAAATGCACAGTAGTTAAGTGAGCATGGGATAGATTGGTTGGCAGAAACTAGTTAGGTGAAGGACTGTGGAGGGTGTGGGAGGGAGGAGGTATAGCTGGGATGAAGGAAATTTAACTGCACTCACAATATGATAATTATGTGAATGAACAATTGAACAAATGCACACATATGAAACTATCTGGGAGCCTTTCCAGTATATCTGCAGATTATGGACAATCTTGCAGTGGCAAGTGCTGACAAGCAATCAGGGACTGAGCAGATGAAAAAAAGATCAATTTAGACTTTGGCTCAAACCTTAGCAATCGAAGGTCAAAAGCAAGGGTCTTTACTAGCCTGCCTTTCAATTTATATTTGGGAACTTCTAGTTAGGAATAACTCTGGCAATACTTAAAGTAATTCCGTTTAAAATTATATGCAGTAAAAACATTGCAAATTCCCAGAATTAGCCAAACTTCATTAGTGATCTAGCTTTCACACACCTCTTCTCGGTGCCATTCCTGTGGGCATTTTCTCTATCCCTCCTCATGACACTCTGTACAGCCACCAGATATCTCCCACCTGGGAATACCTCATCTTCCAGAATTGCAGAGCTCTGTTCTTATTCACTTCAACATCCATTTCTACCTCCTCCCACAAAAATTGTTGACAATAAATTAGCAAGCTATAACAATTCACAGTAAATTGCAGTGAATACTACTATGAATTTAACTGTCCCAAAGCATATATTCAGGGTAGTTCTCAAATTTATGGTAATATTAATGTAAACCATTTTAAAAGGAGAGATGTTACCCTATTGTATAACTGTAATTCACACATACTGGTCAATATTCATCCTATTATCTCTGAAAACGTGGGACTTTGGGGGGTGGTGGAGAGGAATTTAAAACAGACTTTAGTATTATAAGCCACTATCACAAGTTTTTCTGGATTAGACAACTATTGATAATATTCAGAGATATCCTTACAAAAATAATTTTATCAATGTATAATTAATTTGCGTATTTATGGTGTCAATTTTTCCGTATTGGGATTAACTAGAATTTGAAGCCATCTTGTAATTGAAACAATATATAAAAATATAAATTCTTCTCTTTGAAGGCATAGAATCTTTCAATACTTGTTCTATGCTGTATTTCAGTTTCTGAAAGAACTTTTTTTGCCCATTAATCCTCCAGATCAAGAAAACATATGTCTCCCATATAACATAGCCAATGTGTACTTGGACATGTTTCAGTGTTGTTTTAATTTATTTACTTTCTTCCTTCTGGAATTTCTGGGTTGTGTCCTAATTGCAAAGGGTATGCAATTTTTACACCCTAAATCTAAGAGGGCTACATGAAAATACTTGTCATAATACATTCCAGAAAACAGAAATTGCATGGCATGACTGAGTAACTACTATTCTTAATTTCCTCCTGTATACCTGAGCAGATTCTTAGCAGCCTGTGGTAGCAACTCCAGCTGTGACCTTTCACAGCAAGCAAACAAATAATGTTCCTAATACTACTAGGAATATAGATACAGACAACCCACACTGCATTCAGAAAGACACTACTAGATCTCCAATACAGAAAAAGGAAATAAAGTATAAAGTTCAGTTTTATAAATTCTTGCTTTTGACTGTTATTCCTCTTTAGTATTGAAAGGTATTTTTTAAGGAATCTTCACTCTTAATGGCAAAGCAATTTATGAAGTGCTATAATGTTGTGCTTAGTTGAGTAAAGCAGATTATGATAGTATTCAAACTGTCTTTTCCAATCTAGCATACAGTTCTCAATTTGGTATCTCAATGTAGTATTCCATGTTTATTTCATGGTGAGAAGTAAACAAAGGCAAATGCTGAAGTGTATTTGCATATTTTTAATGGTCAAGGCTACTATGTTGAGTAATATTTCTCTTAGGCATAGTAGATAATGGAATTGATTTACATTTCAAACTAAATTAGTTTCAGAACAATTTGGGAGACAAGGAATACAATAGCAGTTCTATGTTCACTGAAAATTCAGATAATTTTTCTCTACTGGTTTGTGCATTGTGTGCTTTTGTGAAAATTATGAGACTAATCTGAGTGTTGTTTTAAATACAAAACTTGTACTTCATCTGTTAGAAAGTAGCCAGATTTTTCGTCATTCTTACTATAATATTTTTAGTTCACCAGCAGAAAGGGTATTACATTTACATACACTGATGGAATATACAAGGCAAATGAATCAGCTGCAATCAATTACATAAGATTAAATCACTGTTGTTTAATTTCTATCACTTATACTTTATAGCACCCAATTTTAATATTTCAGTTTCTACTTTGTAATCACTTAGACTGCTTGATTAAACGTCACATCAATTCTTGGTTTTTAAATATGAGCCAAAAATGAAACAAGTCTTTAGAACATGTACCTGACAAATGATATCTACATAAAAAGTTAGTCAACAATATGTAAATAGTGAAAAACTAAAAGCATAACTATTAGAGAAATAACTTACGCAAAGAAAAAAATCTTTGCTGTGATGGAAACATTAGCATTGTTTGAAAACTCTTTGCCAAACAATAAGCAATAATATTTTACCTTTAAATACTAATTATCATGTTTATATACACAGGACAAGTATTGTAGATCTAGTTTTAAAAGTGATCGAATATGAGGTGCATTAACTGAAAATCAAGCAACAGCATATTAGAAAATTTATCTGAAAAAGGGCTTTATCTTTCAAAAAGTATTAGACACCTTTAATTAAACCTAAAGAAATTACTAAAGGAATTAACTGAAAAAAAAAAAAGAAGAAGACATTGCCTTTATTTTCTAGATTAAAGGATCCATAAGGACAGAGGTTTTGAACCATTTGCTAAAACTCCTCAATGTTTCCATGCTGCTATGGAATAAGAAGCATTCAGTCAAAATCTTTTGAGTTAGTGAAAGGTTTGGGGATTTATGAATGGTTTATGAATTTATGAATGTAGTTCACTTGGTTTTAAATATCAATCAAATATCTACTGCCTATCAGAACTATTAAATTTCTTCCAAGAAGAAACTTTTTAATCTATGGAGAAATAGTGATAGATTTAAACTTAATTATGAATTCAGAAATTGTATTATTGATATCAGAAAAAACTCCTACACTGATATTCACTATACTTAAAGACTGCTCTTCCAGAGTATCTTATATACAGCCACAGAAAAAAAGTCCTATTGAAAGGCCATTGATGTTACAAAGACTGTGTGTTCAACATTTTCAAATTTACATATTTTAATTCTAATGATGTAAGTAATGTTCATCTACAAGACTTTTAAGATCACGACAATGTCAGTTGTAAATGATAAATTAATTTATCTTTAGGAAGAGCTAACATCCTGATTTGAAATAAATATCATAATATTTAAGGTTTTTATTGTCAAATTTAAGTTCTGGGTCTATATATTTCCACATACTTAATACTTTCACATAAAGCACTATGGTAAAAATGCTAGACAATAAATGTAAATTAATTTTATGACAATTGCAAAAGAAGTGACTATGGCTGTGCACTTTCCAAAAATATTTATTAATACAGTTTTTGAAATTTTACATTAAGTTTATGATGAATAATCATTCAAATAAACTACTGATTTTTTAAAACTTAATGTCAAAAGCCACTTACCTGTTAAGCTACAGAATTAAATCATATTTAAGCTACAGTAATTATATTTTTGACCACATTTTTATTACCTCTGTGAGAATCATATTTACAAGTATTTCATAATATAGAAAAAAATTTCTTTTTGCTCTTACCTTGTGCTATACAACCAGTCCATAACATAAACCACACAATCGTCACTGGAAATTTCATTTTTTGAATCTTTTTAGGTGCACATTTAATAGCCGTCACTGTCCACACTACATCAGGTTCTCCTCTGCTAAAAATAATGATCAGTGCAGTAAAGTACTTGCCCCAAAGGAAGCTGAAACAGCTTAGGCATTAAGGGGATTACTAGATGCTCCACCCATCTGCAAACTTTTGCAAAATAAAAGAAATCAACCACAAGCTCTAGCAGTGCCAGCCTTAGAACTGGATTCTTTCTGCATTCCTACAGAATGCTAATACTGTGGCTTGCCCTTGATTTGTTTTTATAAACCCAAGCATGTTCTTCTTTGGAATATGCTCAGATTCTTGGAATGTACAAAGCAGTAACTAGTGATAGCTTCTGAGTTTCATAAATCCTGTAATTACTCAGACTCCATTCTGGTCACTTGTGTGCAAAGCACAGATAAAATAATAGAAACTGTTTTAAAAATCATTTACAGAACTTGAGATTAGGCAATGCTTACACAATCAAGACCTAGACAACATGTAAACTTTGCCAAGAATGCAGTGCTGGCTGATTTGGGGGAGCCTGCATTTCCCACAATCCATGAAGTCAGTTTTCTAAAGAATTGTTATATATGTGTGTGGATTAAAGTGTTCACTCTGAGGCACAAATGAGTTTAATAATTCTAAAATCAAGACATTGAAATGCTGAATTTTTTTTTTTACAGATTTTTAAAATTTTATTTATGCATACAAGAACTGGGGTGTAGGCCAGAGGTGCAGGGGTTGGGGGTGAGAGGATTCACCAGAGACAGTGTGGGGAGCAGAACAGGCAGATCTACTGAAATATACTGCTGAGGGGAGAAGCGGGCAAGACAGAAGAGCTCTGCTGCACCATGTGGTGTAGCTCCCTGGACAGGGAACAAACTTATGCTGTGCCACAGTGGCTGGTGGTATCTTGATTTTGCTGAGAATTTAACCCCTGCGCCACCAGGGAGGCCCCAAAATACTAATTTAAAAAAAATATATTGAAATAGAAAGGGAAAATAAGTAAATGATTTACTGACTATTGAGAAGTGTAAAATACTCATGCATCTGGCACCAAAATCAAGAAACTGAATAGTATTGATACTTTCTCTTAGGAAACCTCTAGTATTCCCTTTCAGTTTCCTCCTTTATCCTCTGCCTGTACACATACAGTGATAACTTTATCCTGATCTCTAAGACACTGGGACAAATTTACCTGTTTTTACACAGCATGTGCATGGAATAATAAGAGATGTATCCTTTTGTGTTTAGAGACTTTCTTTAAAAGTCAGATCATTCAGGGCCTCCCTGGTGGCGCAAGGGGTTAAGTCTCAGCACGATGAAGCTATCTGCAGCCACTGTGGCACGAGTTTGATCCCCAGCCAGGGAGCTACCCACATGGCGCAGCAGACCTCTCTTGTCTTGCCCAGTGCTCCCATCAGCAGTGTATTTCAGTCATTCCTCCTGTTCTGTTCCCCACTCTGTCTCTGGTGAATCCTCTCACCCCCCACAACTCTGGCCTGTACCCCAATTCTTATATGTATAAATAAATAAATCTTAAAAAAATTCTTAAAAAAAAAGTCAGATCATTCAACCACACAGTTGGATGTAGTTCCAGATTATGAATTCTTGTCCCTGTAAAACATTATTCAAACATACCACATTTTATCTATTTGCGTGCTACCAGGTTTTTAACAGTGGCATTTGAGTAGATTCTAGTTTGAAGTTAACACAAAAAGTGCTGCAATGAACATTATATTATGAGATATTTTTGAAAACACACGGCCTCATTTTTAGTAAGTACTTACCGAAGATTGGAATTTTTAAGGTCTAACCTATTATTATGTAATAGGTAACCTTGGACAGTTTCCCAAAACAATGAGAATAATTGATTTTCCCACCAGAAGTATAAGAGCTGTTCCATATCCTCAACAACACTAATTTTTTTTTAAAGATTTATTTATGCATACAAGTACTGGGGTACAGGCCAGAAGTGCTGAGAGTGAGAGGACTCACCAGAGAGGGTGGGGAGCAGAACAGGTAGATCTACTGAAATACACTGCTGAGAGGAGCAGCGGGCAAGCCAGGAGAGGTCTGCTGCACCACATGGGTAGTTCCCTGGCCAGGGATCAAACTCATGCTGCAATGGCTGCTGATAGCTTGATAGAGCTGTTTTTAATCCCTGTGCCAGACCAGAGAGGCCCACAACACTAATTTTCAATCTTTATAAAGCTTTTAGTCAGCATAAGCAGCTAATGCCAGTGGTTTTAATTTGCATTTCCTCCTAACAAAGTAGACCAACTTTCATGTAGCAGTTGATTAATTAGGAATCCTCTTTGGTGAAGTGTTTATTAAATTTCTTTGTATATTTTTCAAATGATTTGTCTATTATCTAATTGTGGGAATTGTTTATATATTTTGCATATAAGTACATACTTGGACATGTAAATATCTTCTGTCAGTCCACAGGTCATCATTTCACTCAGTGATACATGTCTTTATTTTATTTTTTTAAATGATTTATTTAGTTATGCATACAAGAGCTGGGGTACAGGCCAGAGATGTGGGGGGTGAGAGGATTCACCAGAGACGGAGTGGGGAACAGAACAGGCACATCTACTGAAATACACTGCTGATTGCCTCACAGTGTGGTGCTTAACTCCTTGCGCCACCAGAGAGGCCCAATAAACAGTATCTTGATTTTAAAATAGAGCTATTTGTAAAATTTTATTCTACAATTAGAGCATTTGCTGTTCTGTTAAATATTCTTTGCTTACACCCAGGACACAATGATGCTTTTTCTCTAAAAGCATTGCTTTCTTTTTCACATTTAATGTTCCATATGACTTTTGTGTAGGGTGTGATAAAAAGCTTCAGATACATTTTGTAATGTTCTATCTAGTTATTATGGCTCTAATTATTATAAAAACCATTTTTTCCCTTTTGCACTGCTTCACTGTCACTTTGTTGTAAATTAGGTGAGCTAGATATATGTGATTTCATCTCACTAAGCCCTTCACTAATTAGATTCTCTTAAGCTCTTCACCCAGCAATAGTCAAAGTCCCACTTTAATTTTTAGAGGGCATCCTGTGTGTAGTGCCAGTTTCTGGGAATTTGGGGATTTCTTTCTTATCTTTTTAAATTTATTGCTTAACTTTGTGTTCAGAAGATATATTCTAAATAATTCCAATCTTCTAAAATTTCATGAATTTTCTTTATTACCCATTTCTAATCAGTATTCTACCTATATCAGTAGGTCATATTTGTAATTCCACTATGGAAATCTTTTACATTTTTTCCATATTTTTAATGGTTATCTATCTATGTTGTTGGAGATTTCTTGACCTACTAAACATAGAACTTCCATATGATCCAGCAATTCACTCCTAGGTATTTACCCAAATGACACAGAAACATTAATTCCAAAGAGCACCTGCACGCCTATGTTCATAGCAGCGCTCTTTACAATAGCTAAGCTATGGAAACAACCCAAATGCCCAAAAATAGATGACTGGGTCAAGAAGATGTGGTACATATACACAATGGAATATTACTCAGCAATCAAAAAAGGTAAGCACATGCAGTTTACAGCAACATGGATGGAGCTAGAAGGGATCATGCTCAGTGAAATAAGTCAGAAAGAAAAAGAAAAATACCGGATGGTCTCACTCATAGCAGGAATTTAGAAAACTTAAATAAGAGACCGGGAAAAAGACTAATCAATACAAAGTAAAAATCAAAATCATCAAGCAACTATAAACCAGAGATACACGACAGGGCGGGGTGAGGGAGGGGCAGGGAGAGGAAGGACTAGAGTCAAAATACAGGGGGTGCAATTGTATGGGGAATATAACCATAATGAAAATGCATACATTGTGCAAAGATGAAAAATGATGTAAGAATTATATAAAATAAAATATGAAAAAAAAGAAAGAGTATATTAAATTTTCCTCTATGATTGTGACTTTGGCAGGGCTTTTTGTTTGTTTAAATCAATCGATGTTTCTTCATATAATTTAATTCCATAATGATATTTGTGTACATATATAGAATTTGATGTCCCAAAAAAGTATCCTGTTTATTTCCAATATTTATGTCACATTCTCAATAGATGTTTACTATGTTTTTGTAAGACCTGAAAGTATGCAAAATTTATAAAACTTAAGTGACATAAATTTGTATTAGAGAAAATTTTCATATTTTTAAAGTAGATGTAAGTAATATCTATACTAAGTCAAATGACTTATCAATACATGCCACAGATATTTGGAGGACAGATAAGAAACCATTTATGCCTATGTTTTGAAGTGTTTGCCTATGTTTTCTTCTATGTATTTTATGGTTTCGGGTCTTACATCCAAGTCTTTTAGTCATTTTGAGTTGATTTTGTTTATGGCGTGAGATAGGTGTCTAATTTCATGCATTTGAATGTGACTGTATAATTGGCTTCTTTGTGGCTACCTGTCCACATATGTGTAGTTTTGTTTCTGGGCTTTTACTTCTATTCCATTGGTTGGTGTCTATTCCCACATACCATGTTGCTTTGATTGTTATAGCTTTGTAGTGTAGTTTGAAGTTTTTGGGAATGTGATACTTCCTTTTTATTATTATTATTATTTTTTGGTTTTTATTCAGGGTCTTTGTGGTTCCAGAAGACTTTTGGTAATGTTTGTTCTATTTGAAGAATGCCATTGAAACTATGATAAGGATTGCATCATATCTATATATTGCTTTGGATAAGATGACCACTTTAACAATGTTCATTCTTACAGTTTATGAGCAGGGAATAGTTATACATTTCTTTGTATCTTCTATTTCTTTTAACAATGTCATAGTTTTCATTGTACAGATCCTTCACTTTCTTTGCTAAGTTCACTCACAAGTACTTTATTCTTTTTGATGCATTTGTAAATGGGGCTGTTTTCTTCTTTCTCTTCAAAGGCATTGTATGCATATATTAATACAACCGATACTTGTAAATTTATTTTGTAACTTGCTACTTGCCAAACTGATTTGTTGTTTCAATTAGTTTTTCAGTGAGTACCTAAGTTTTTCTATGTATATTATTTTGTCATCTGCATGTTATGTATATTAATATGTTTTCAGTAGCTCTCCTTATTCTCCCAAAATTTAGATTTCTTTTATATCTTTCTCTTGCCTAATTGCTCTAGTAGGGCTTCAAATACTATGTTGAACAGTAGTGGTGAGAGTAGACATGCTTATATTAGTGGAAAAGCTTTCAGTTTTTCACCATTGAGAATGATATTAGTTGTGGGTTTGTCATATATGGCATTTATTATGTTAATGTGTATGACATTCAATTTTTGAGGGTTCTTATCATAAATGAATGTTGAATTTTTTCAAATGTTTTCTCAGCATCTAGTTATATG